GCGTCACGGTCGCGCGTCACAGTGAATGTGACGTGACTACTGAATGACTATTACATGAATAACATAGACTAGAGGCTACAACAGCTTCATGCACTAGTTTGATTATTTGCCGTTTCATGCCGATGAAAAGTTGCGTGTTTCCAGCGGAGCGCGCAGCGTTCAAAGTCGCTACGTTAAAAGCTTCAGTTTAATCACTGAATGGAGCTCGCGACATTAAATTGCTTACACAAAACTCTTGATCGGCACTCAGCGTTTGTTTATTGTTGTTTATTGTTGTCGTTCATTCAAACCGCTTTGCGCAGAGAGAGAGAGAGAGAGAGAGAGAGAGAGAGAGAGAGAGAGAGAGAGAGAGAGAGAGGTCCGCGTTCTTGTCCGTCAGTTAATTTACTTATTTGTGTGCAGGTAATATGTTGTTAAATCGGTTTAAACTTCAATAAACGACCTATACAAGTAGTTCTGTCTCGTTGTATTCATTTGTCCTGTTATTGACGCGCCTAATGCGCAACCAGATATTGGAATATATTCGAACGTCTTTTCTGAACAATTTTGACAGCCGTAGTGTTGACAGAACAGAGTGAAGACTTCCCAGTACAGCTACAAGTTACAAAGGAAAAATCCAAAATCGGCACGGCTCTGGACTTTATGAAGACACTGGGCGCATTAACTAATGTGCTTATTATGGTCACTTTGATATTTACACACTCACTTGAGGGTTACAAGCCAGGTCTAACTTGTTCCCCCATTGCTTTTATGGGTGCAATATAACCGTGGATACTATACAACATGGAGATGGTTGTGGATTTCAGGAAGAACAGAGCCCCGCCTTCCACCATCACCCCGTGTGGGCTCCATCATCACCCAGGACCTCAAGAGGGAGCTGAACATCAGCTCCATCCCCAAGAAGGCTCAGCAGAGGGTGTTCTTCCTGAGGCAGCTGGAAAATAAATTCAACCTGCCAAAGACGATGACGGTGCACTTCTACACGGCCATCATGGAGTCCATCCTCTGCTCCTCCATCACCGTCAGGGGGGGACAAGATCAATAGATTCAATTCAATTTTACATTGATTTTATTCTATTTTGTATAGCCCAAAATCGCACACATGTGACATCCGCTGTCCCGAAACCCTCACATTGGCACAGAAAATACATGAATGCAGTACTCTATATCCCAAATCCACACTCTACTAACTGTGGCTAGTTCACATGCAGATTAAAAACTGTGCTGTACAACATTGTCCTGCAACAAATACAACAAAAATGAAATATCGACTGACCTTTTTTTTTTTTTACTCATCAGTTTACTCACAGCATTTTTGCATTATTTCCTTAATGTCCATGCTTCACTTATTTGCTTTAATACTCCAAATAAAGCAAAACAAAGTAAAGTCTTTTAAGATGCACCATTGTCGCTGTTCTCGTTGCTGAGACCAATTGGAACCCGGCCAATAATCGGTTAACCCACAGCTGTAACCAGTTTGGCGTGACGGTTGCCATCGTACCGATCCTGCTGCATGTGTTCTCTTGAGTAAAATAGAGCTCAGTATTGCTGTGCAGGTGGTCCCTGTACCAGTGTGAAGGACTCCTGGATGAAGGCCCTGCACATGGGGCAGTGTTGGAAGTGTGACACACAGCTGTCACACACACAGGCGTGTCTGCAGGGCAGCAACACTTTGTTCACTGCTGCATTCTGACAGACCACGCAGTCCCGGCCCAGCCCGGCCCCCCGTCGCCCTTCCTCTGCCGCCGGACCCAGCTGCCCTCTACTTCGTTGGGTACTCTGCTCTGAGTCGGGAGTCTCGGACACGCCCCCACTGTCAGCTGACATGAAGAGAGGCTGGAAAGACACGACGCATTAAAGGTGGTGTTGACTGTTGACAGGGAAAGTTTGCATTACAAACTACACTGTGTGTACAATTATTAGGCAGATTATTTTCCTCAGGCAGAGTAAGCGAAAGGGACAAAAAGAGATTTAACTGACTCTTTACAGCAGTGGTTCCCTTTTTCTGTCAGGGCCCGCATTGTAAGACTGATGTACAGTTGGGAAATGTATAAACCAGGCGTTTGTCACAATAAACATTTCCATCTCTACAGTTCTGAAGTGTGCCATGGTGCGACATGGCCCAACATATATCTGTATTTAATATTTCTGTGTACATCAGTCTGGTGTATACATAACAAATGTCTTGTTTGTGCACACGTACGTGGCTAAAAAAGGGGATTCTGGGTGATTTATTAACCAATATTAAGAATAGCTTTTTGAAAAATAGCCCTCAAACATCACCCTGGTGTTATTTTAGCTCTTGAATTCATTTCATAAGACTCCTGGATTGACTTTCTAAAAAGAGCATCCTTATAAATGATGCACTTACAATTATACTGTATCAATTTTATAAACTAACTTACGACCCGGCAAATCATACTATTAATAAAATGCATGCAGTGTAATATGAGTTTACAGCTAGGACTTTGAGAATATTTTAATCCATAAAGAAATGCATGCAGTGTAATACTTGATGTCACCAAACGACGACTTGGCTGTGCACAACATCCAGTGTGAGAGACAGTCGTAATAACCAGGTACAGTGAACGCACCCGCAGACGTCATGTTCCCACTGTAATCCGATCATCAAGTAGATGAGATCCAGCAAATGGGATGAATACACACCTTTACCTCTTTGTGTATATACACCTGTGTACGTCCTGTAATCGGGGTTTGTTGGTTAAAGCACGAGACTGAAGAGTGAACTAGGTCATAGTCAGTGTTGGGCAAGTTACTGAAAATGAGTATTTAGTTACAGTTACTAGTTACTTCTTTTAAAAGGTAATTGAATATCAAAAATAATTAGTTACTCTGGAAAGTAACTTCTAAGTTACTTTTAGGTCTGCCTTTTAAATGTAATGAATATAAATAGTACTGAACAGTCAAACACAATAGACATATTTTTTAGACCTATTTATTGTAATCAACAGGGCAACAGGCCTTCAAATCAAGCAATGGTACAAAAGTCCTTTTTAATACTTAACTTAATACAATATAACTGTTTCAGGCATTTGCCTGAAGGCAACGGACTCGACAGTTGACAGGATGCATCTCATCTTCAACACAGCGAGCGATCAATCTGTTCAGCTCTGCCCGGTTCATCGGCTGCACTGCAGTCCGTGTAAAGTGGAGCCCTGGTTGTTTGCGTGGAGCGGCGCCTGCAGCATCCTGCGCTCTTTCGTCATGAGCGACGCGATGCTGTTTACGTGCACGTACGCCGACTATTCTGTGACACACAACGTTTGGTGGCCACAACTATTTTGTGCTGACAGGCAGCTATTTACTTACTATTTGCCGGCCCTCCGCTTCGCGTCACAAAAGAGAGTAACGCGAGTAACGAACTCATTTCAATTTCAGTGATTGTAACTGCGTTAATTTATCTAAAAAAATACTTTGTTACATGCTCGTTACCGCTAAAAGTCGTGGAATCACAGTAACGCGTTACTTTGTAACACTGGTCATAGGTGGGCAGTGGATTGCAGAAGCTGGCAAATCTCGCAGCTCCATACCGTTTACTTTTACTACTTTCACAAACCTTCTCAGTTCCATCGTTCGGTCAGTGAACACAACTTTTGGAAGTTGATCATTAAAGTGGAGTATCTGCAATAATTAGCTTGATCCAAAATGCGACGTACCTTTAACTCAAACATGTTCCCATGTGAGGTGAGAAGGTACTGGAAGAGAACCCGTGCAGAAAGGCTGTATTTGTCATCAGGAACATGAATAACTGTCAAACTGGCCACCTGAAGAAGGACAAACGGGGCAATGAGTGTTCCGAGATTATAGAACCACTTCAGTCTAGGAAAGGTCCGAGCAGCTCTGATGCTGCATCACGGCATCACGTGCGATTGACTTACGATGCCTGTAGCTTCCGGCTCTGCCAGCGTCAGCACAGCCACGAGAGGGTAGCGCTCCCTCGGTAATGGGCCAAAGTCTGCAATCCCCTGGTCAGCAGGAATCTGTGTGCGCCTTTCCTCTCTGTCCGCACTGTCGATGCTGGGGGGCGGAGTCAAAGAGCCGAACACCGTGGGGTAAAGTCAAAGACAAATCTCTGCAGTCATGATACAAGCATAGTAGTTCAGTGAGAGAACGTCCACCCAAAAGCATTTCTGTCACTAGGAACCAGCAGAAGTTACAGACTTCATCCGTTTCAGTTATTTATCCCCATACAAACATACGTTTTTATCGCAGAGTAGTTAAAGCTGCAGTGGGGGGGGGGGGCATCTGTGCTTTAAAAAGGGAGCAGCACGTTTAATCCAGAAATTCAGAAGTTGAACAACATCATCATACGTTTTAGAGACACTAAGATACGTAGCAGCAGCTGCTCCAGATAAGATGGTTAAATCAGTGGATCTGTTTTTTTATGTTACAGTAGTTTTGAGGAAGAAAATTGTTCATGGCAACAAAATAGTACATGTTGAATTTTTAAAAAAAAAATAATGGAATAAAACCAAATTGTTCCAAGTAATCCAAATTGCCCCGTCAGACAACAACAGATAACATGTAGAACCATGTTGTAAGACCGATGCAAAAAATAAAATATTTGCACTGAGCATCTTTTCAAAATAATTATAAATAATAAAAGTACAAACAGTGAAAAGAGTTTAAATAATTGGACAATAAAGAGTTTTACACTGCGTATCTTGTCAAAACAACCATGATTTGCAACCTGTGCAAAACTAAAAAAGGTCTCGTAATGATTAAACACATTTTATCAGTATTAGTGGCTCTAATCAGACTGCTTTCCACTATAAATCTTTTCAAAACAACAATAGTATGTGTACTTTCACCTTTATAATATGGGAGGTTCTATAGTTTTTGAAAAAAAGCTAAATTTCCCCATGCGACCCACCTGTAATACCACCCAGACCCCAACGCTTGAGAAACACTGGGTTGAATGTAATAACACATACAGGAATTGGGTAATTGAGTAAAGGATACTAGAAGCTGTGGTAATGGTAGTAGCGGAGCTCCTCCTGCAAACTTGTGGGGGTGATGAGCTGCGGGCGGCGCTGGTGAGCCTGCAACGCAGACTGCAAGGCGCTGACCTCACAGCCCCAGAAGCAGCTCAGGACACAGGGCACCAGACAGCAGGGCGCCAGGGACACGCCGTCTGCAAAGAGCGTCCCCAACAGTTACAGTCGCCGGGGCCAAAACCAACAAGGCTAAACACTCCAAGCTCATACAGGAAGTACAGTGCCGTGAGACGGTATTGTCCCCTGGTAGAAATATCGACAACTCGAAAACTCGACACCGGTGTAAAATCGTCAAAACAGAGTATTTAATGTTTGCAAACCTGAGACAGAGTTGACACACACACACACGCATGCACACACACACACACACACACACACACGCACGCACACACACAGTGGGGAGAACAAGGATTTGATACACTGCCGATTTTGCAGGTTTTCCCCACTTACAAAGCATGTAGGAGTCACATTTTTATCATAGGTACTTCCACTCTGAGTGACCGAATCTAAAACAAAAATCCAGAAAATGACATTGTATGATTTAAAAAAAAAAAAAAAAAAAAGTACTTTTACTTGACCCGTAAAAGCCCCACAAAACTTCACACAATTAATTATTTTGGATAAAATGTGCCTGTCTGCTGTTATCCACCAACAGTAATGTTTCCTGATTCCTGATCTGTCTCCTTTTAATAAATGAAGTCCTCATTTGAAAACATTTGATTTTGTATTTACTTGAGTTATCTATGTCTGATATTAAAATGTGTTTGATCTGAAACGTTTTAGGTGCGACAAATATGCAGAACAATAAAAAACCAGGAAGGGGGCACATACTTTTTCACGACACTGTAGAGTGGCTGAAACATTCATAACCTGCATTATTTATAGTTGTGCACATGCTTTGTTGGGGAAATTAATATTTTTACATGAAAATACTTTTTCATACTAAAATTTCTCCTGAGGTCCATCTCTTCTTGATTTCTATTACATTACAGGTCATTTAGCTGACGCTTTTATCCACACTTTAAACCCATGGTATTTTACATATTGCCCGGGGAGCAATTAGGGGTTAGGTGTCTTGCCCAGGGACACTTCAACTTGAGACATGGGGCAGCCAGGACTCGAACCACCAACCTTGCGGTTCCCAGCGCACCCGCTCTACCCCTTGCGCCACGACGACCCATGCTATGCTGTCTATGCTGCAGATGACGGTTCTCACCAGCGACAGATGCCGGCCCCGAGCCCATCTCGAGGATGAAGGGGTTGGTCATCCGAACCATTTGCTTCTCAGGGGTTGGCAGGACAGACGCGGTCTCATCAGAACTGCGGAGGATCACTGGGACATCAAAGCCAAACCTGCAGGACAGGAGCCAGAGTGGACACAGTCGTTATGTTCTGGACGGCCTTTTTAAATAACGTCACAGAGGAAAAACAAAGGCACTCTATTTTTACTTGTATTTCCATAATATATTACTGTGCAGTTTGAGAAAATTGAAGATAGAACAAGTAAAGAAAAATTGCCCCGTCGGGTGCACTTTCTCCTCACCCATCTGAGGTGGGCCGCACACCGACCCATCTGAGGTCCCAGCTCGGGGCAAGGTGGCTCGCAGCTCCGGCCGCATTATATTGCCCAACAACCTTTGACCTCTTGCTTTAATTGTCTCCAATATTGTACAGTGATATATGTATCTTGAAAGTATACATGGCCATAGAGGAGATCTCCTACAACAAGAATCAAGTGAAAGTAGAGTGTAATCTTTTATGGATCTGGTTTGAAGACCAGTATTGGGAAATGACAGTTGAGAGATTGAGAATTTTCAAATATTATGTAATTTTACTGACTTTGCCGTCAATTTTCTCCAGAAGTGTACGGTAATATATCATGAAAGTATACATGGGAATAGAGGAGGTCAACTAGAACAAGAATCAATAAAAATAATCCTTTTATGGATCTGGTTTAAAGACAGTTTAAATGTTTTGATATGAAACTTCAAAGGCGATTATCGTATTTTGGGCTGTACAAGCCGCTTTACCGTAACGCCTTGAACAGAGGCGCAGTTCATTTTAATGACAGCAGTATTATTATATCACGCTTCTAGGATTTAGTCCAGGTAACAATACAACAATGTTCGAAAGATGACTTACTCGATCAAATCTGAGGGAGAGGTCGGCGGTTACGTTAGCGTTATGACAAAAAGGGTAAACGATATATCTGTCGCTAAAGTCAGAAGCTAAGCTAACGTTCATTTGGATAAACGTCACTTACCAGCCGAGCACCATGGCGGCTGTCACAACGAAGCACAGAGAAACCACGCTGATGTAAAACAAAGGGGAGTACTCAAACAAGGTCACGAGAAAAACCGCTGCCATGTCCTATGGTTTCTAAGCAAACGATCAGTAAGTCCTGAGGTAAACATCTCCCATGACGTCCAGAACCGGAACTCCTCACTGCAAACTACGGCGGCCCACGAGCTTCAGCTGGATGGAGTATTCTCAATAACTAGACTATTTTCATTTAAAGTTTACATTTGAACTGCAATGTTGATTACTAGTCACTGAAGAAATGCTTTTTAATTTAGTTAATTTTGTATTGTCTAGTTTTGGATGCAATGGTAGATACTCTTGCTTAAACTAAATCAATAAAGACAGCGATATCTAGAGCAAAGGTACTTAACTAATGGTGAATTTATTCTTCAAATTAAAAGCGTAAATTTAAAACATAATATGGACGCTGACCGCAACTAAAGCTTGATATTACGATGCGATGAAACGATTGGGAAAAAGACTTACATCATTGTAGTTTTCAAATAGATTTATGATTTCGGACACTATAAAACAAACAAAATAAAATAAATGTGCGCAGCTCTATAGTGCTATACGCTTTAGGTATTAGCCTTTATTTTTATAACTTTAACTGCAGCTAATTCTCCCTCGTTCCTCAATAATATAGTTTATTTTGAATGTTTCAACAGGAAATGATTAGTTTGATAATATTAACTTGATGTTATGGAGCAACCGAGATTGCCATTTTAGAGATTATTCCATCAATTGTGTTGAAGGTAACGTTAAACGTACAGGTCAAGAAAACAGGAGGTACATGAGTCGTTTAGACAGCCTGAGTTAATATCGTTTACCCTGCAGCTATAGTTATACGCGACAGCCCATTGTCGGGATCCAGATGGTAACATCTGGGCAGAAAGACGCCGCTAACCTGGTAGTCTAACGGCAGGGACATCATTGTGCGTTTTGTTATTACGCTATCTTCATGTTTTAGGAGTTCAATCGTTTATAGCATGAGCAGCATAAACGAAAGACCAACTATCCGCCAACAGAGCTCGGAAAATAACTCAGTCAGCAGCAGCGAATGGGACATGGCGAATGATGTGTTTGTGTCCGGATACGACGACGACCCGGTGGGAGACGGTGATGTCGGCGGGCACAGGGACTTGGTCAGACACCTGCCGATATTGTCCCAGGACGGCATGGTGCTCGGCCTGCCCGGGGACGAATACGCGGGTGCGTCGTATCTGGAAATTTGCAGTCGTCGATGATGTAACGTCCGAGTACATAAAAGGGGGCTACTGTACATATAACACACTGCGACAATACTCTCGGACCGCGTGAAAATATTCCCACGGGGGAACAGAGTGGGTCCCGTGTTACAAAGTCGACAAGCGCGGGTTGAAGCGGTCCGGGGGCTTTCATATTAAACAGCGGGTCTGGTATCGGAGCCTCGTGGACAGAACCCCAACAGGGGGCCCGCGTATCCGACATTGGTCGAAGGGAACGCGGCGGCCGACGCCGACGATATCCCGCCGAAGAGCGGAGAGGGGCACACTCAGGGCGGAGAGAGGCACAGTCAGAGCGGAGAGGGGGACAGTCGGGGCGGAGAGGGGGACAGCGCGAGCGGAGAGGGGGACCGCGCCAGCGGCCGGGCGGAGCCGACGGCGCCGCGCGCCGCGTCGGAGGAGACGGGGGACTCGGACGCGGGCACAAGCGTGGAGGCGGTGTGCGTCCGAGGGGGGATCTATGAAGTAGATATCAGAGAGAAGGAGTGCTACCCCGTGTACTGGAACCGTAAGTCACCGCAATTCAATGATTCATCGCCATAAAAACAATGGTTACTATACTGCGACAATGAAGTAACGTTATATTAGTACTAACCTTACTAGCACCATCGGCCTCGTGTTACTCTCTCACATTTGGTTGAAAGGTAAGTCACTTAAAAGTAACCTTAAAGTTGTTATATTTAACGTTACTATTCCGCAGGATTCTACTGCCACTTGGGATCTGAAGCTGCACCCGTATAGTACTTTAAAGCCCACTACTGCAACTACCACCATACTACTACCATGACGAGATGCTTCAGCGTGTCTTTACTTTAGTGATAAGGTTACAACCATCAGTCGATTCATCAGTTGCTTCGTATGGGGTCAGATCAATCTCAATAATTGCAAATGCACACAGAAAGATTCACAAATGCGCACAGAGCAATTTACAAATATATTCAATTTACAAATACATTTCAATGCACACATAAATAAATTACGAGTTATATTTATAGTCGTAGATGTATTATTATTTTGGGGGCAATTTTTGCCCCCACTGACTGAAAACCAGGGGCATTTTATAAGAAATTGGGGTCATTTTTTTAAACTTGTGAAATAACATTTAACTTTTGTCAAAAATAATAAAAATACTTATTTGGGCTACATGTATATGCGTTTGTCATCAAATGGAAGCAATAAGACTATTAGGCAGTAGTCTACTGATTCAATGTGTTTTTTTAACCAAAATAAACAGAAAACACAAATCAGACTCATTCAAAAATATATATATCTTTGCAGTTTGTCGTGTTAAGCAATATGTAAAGCAATGTCAAACTACTTGACCAACTTTAAAATCTTTTAAAAAGCTAATTCATTCACTCCCAACGTTATTGATAACTTGATCTTAACCATCTATACTGGCTAAAATCAAAGGTTTACTTCACAGACAATCTTTGAACACAGTAAAAAAAATCTAGTAGTCTTTTTTACTTACTATGGTCGATTATTCCAAATCACGTTTAAAAAAAAAATAGCGCCAAGGCTATGTTGTGTGAAGTTAGTAAAAATGATTGTATAGTGACTCAATAAAGTAAACATTAGCTTATGATGTGAGGTTGTCTGTATGAAAAATCCAACCACCCATCGAAAAATGGTCAAAACATTGATGTACCATGCTGTGAATGGATCGGGTCCAGTCTACATCCAGGACATGGTCAAACCCGACATCCCAACCCGCACACTCCGCTCTGCATCTGCCAAACGGCTTGTTCCTCCTCACTGAGAGCAAAACACTCGACTAGATCACGACTAGATGGTGGAACGAGCTCTCTGATGACATCAGGACAGCAGAGAGCCTTCACATCTTTCGCCGCAAACTCAAGACACGCCTCTTCAGACTCTACTTCGACTAAAAAGACCAACAACTTGTAGCACTTAAAATTGTACTTAATGGCTTTTATCTAGCAAGTTGTAAATTGGCTTATTTAATGAAATTGCACTTTCGGCATTCTTGTTCTTTTGAGTCTGTATCCTTATGGTTAAAATGCACTTATTGTAAGTCGCTTTGGATAACAGTCAGTCTGACCCCATCACTTCGCTCTCCCTTAGAACACGCGTCTTTGGGTCTTTGGGATAATCAGTTTAGAAAGATATAAAAACGAATATATTACTATAGTTATATATATATATATATATATATATATATATATATATATATATATATATATATTATATAACTATAGTAATATAATTCCATATATATATATATATATATATATATATATATATATATATTATATAACTATAGTAATATAATTCCATATATATATATATATATATATATATGGAATTTTCTTTTATTGTGATACGCCCCTCAACACACACACACGGAACACCACCTTGATGTCTGATTTAAAAATAAATAAATAACAAAACTAAACTTAAATTCACTGATTGTCCCTTTACATCTCTTTTACTGTTAGGAAAGTAAAAGCACTGGCTACACAACCTTTTTATACTGCATTAACGGATGTCCCTCAGAACAAGACCGTATTCCTGTGATGAGGGGCCAGTGGTTCATTGATGGAACATGGCTTCCTCTTGAGGAGGACGAGAGTGATCACATCGAGATGGAACATCTCGCTCGTTTCCGGGGGCAACAAATGAGGGACACCTATGAGATGGAGGTGGTAACCACCACAGTGGACAGCAAAGATGGTAAGAAAACAAGCCCTAGAAAGACACGTGTGCACTGTAAAAAAAAGATCTAAATTTTACGGAAAATAACTTACGATTTCCTTTGTCAGAACGGGAGGTGCCGATCTCAGTTGGGTATTTAGCGACATGTTAAATGAGTATCTTCGTATACATATCTCTCGTGACCGTGGGTTCGCCGTACATGTTTTCTTTCTAACTTTATTGACAATCTAGCACATGGCTCTGAAGTGTCACGCATTGAGCGTGACAGTCACGCATTCCGGTCTCAAGTCACTCACTCCCACCACACATCCAAGTCCCCACGCCAAGAAATGGGACTCCGGTCCGTGTTGGTTACTCCCACTTCACTGCAGAACTTCTAGTGGTATGACTTTATTTGTGTTTGACCATAATAGTACAGGAAATATCTGTAAAATAACAGCGTTTCTCTGCAGAACTATCCCAGATATCCCAGTGTTGAAAGTGTTTGTTCGTAATAATACAGACAAAATCTATAAAATAAGTTTTTTGCTACCTTTTTTTTTTTTTTACAGTGTGTGACTAAGATAAGTGTGTATGGAGAGAAATGTGAGTGTATATAGACATTGAAAGGGGTTAAGGTGTGTGTGTGTGTATGTGTGCGCGTGCAACTCTGCCATTCAGAACAGGGCCTCAAAACACCTTTCAGAAGGCATTGACTATGTGTACAGTCTGTATTACGACTGAAGTAAATGGTGTTCAATGCAATCTGCACACCATGATGGGAAATGGGGAATCAAGTAACTTGATTAATTGTGTCACTTGCTGTTAATCATTTATTTGCATGTCTCCCAGCTATCGACAGTCTGAAACTGAGCAGGAGTCATGTGGACTGGCACAGCGTAGACGAGGTGTACCTGTACAGCGATGCCACCACCTCCAAGATTGCACGTACCGTCACTCAGAAATTGGGCTTCTCTAAAGGTATATGGAAAATGTTACAAGACATAGACAAGAGAGGAGATCTGGATATTTTCTTAAGCCATTCCCTTATATGATACATGCTCTAGCAGCCTATATATGAAGTTAGATGTGTGTCTTTATTATGCAAAAAAAAACTGTTTTGAGATCAAATGTCTTGCATTGCAAACAAAAATCAAGTTTGTAAGTAAAAATCTATAAACTGAGAATAAATTATTTGTTAGTTTTGCTTACAAAACTAGAATTTTTGGCTGCAAAAAAAACCTTTTTCTCTCACAAAACCCTTTTTTTGGGACCACGGTTTTCTTTTTTTGAGAGCAAAACTTTTTATTTTGCAGCCCAAAATACTAGTTTAATTAAGTATATTATTAAAAACCATAGGGAACTTTACATTCACAGAAAGTTCTTAAAAGGTACTATGACAACGTAGGAATTAAGTTAGAAACAATGTCAAGTGTGTTTCGTTGTGCGGGAAATTGGTTTGACCACTTTAGGTTATTCGTAGTAGTGGTTAGGTGGCCATGTCACCTAACTGACTAAACACTAGCCGACCCTCTAATGTCCTCAGCCTCCAGCAGTGGGACACGTCTCCATCGGGGTTATGTAGAAGAGGCGGCACCTGAAGACACCCCACCTGAAACCACGCACATTGTTTTTGTGGTTCATGGTATCGGCCAGAAGATGGACCAAGGCCGCATCATCAGGAATACCAGCATGTAAGATATCAATAGGTTGCAGGGGTTGCAGAGTTCATTATTATTTTTTAATAATCCCTGAAGTAATTGTTTTGACTTTTAGGATGAGAGACGCTGCCAGAAAGATGGAGGAGAAGCACTTCTCCAATCACACAACAGAGCATGTAGAGTTCTTTCCTGTGGAGTGGAGGTCAAAACTGTCTCTTGATGGAGGTTTGCGGCACCCCAGCTCATAACAACAAAGACATAATAAAAGCTTTTTAAGGAGAATGTACATTGGAGTCATGAAAAGAATCTTGTTTTGGCTGTCACGTAAAACGGCCACCATTCTACAGTAAGGTGCGTTGAGGAACACCTAATATTTATAACGTTTTTATCATCAAGGTCTATAGAATAAATGGCCTTAATTTCTTGAAAGTACACCTCAAATACGCTACGAGTGTTTTATGCATGTTACATTCGGCTAGCAAATTTCATACATCTAGGTGAGCAAGTAACTTCATGTATGGAAGATTTTTCAAGATGTTGCACAGGTTTTATTGTCAAACATTATAACAGATATATATATATTTATGGCATATTAGAATCACTTATTTCACTGAAAAATGAAAAAGTATTAAAAAAAAGACACTTTGTTTTATATGTATTTGTATGACCTCCCTGCAGACACGGTGGACTCCATCACCCCAGACAAAGTGAGGGGTCTCAGAGAAATGCTGAACGGCAGCGCCATGGACATCATGTACTACACCAGCCCTCTGTACAGAGATGAGGTTAGACTATTGCACAGCTAAAGTTTAGCCTCGCTATGGTTTCTCAAAGGTGTGTTGCTGCATACCGTTAGTCCCATGAGCTCAAATCAACTCCACTCAGGCAAAACTAAATTGTGACCAAACTGTTCCAACATGGATCTATAGCAGTACATTATTATCCAATTCCTAAATATGAAAGAATGCATGATTAGTTAAGAATCTATAATCATCTAACAGAACCAGATATATTTGAGTCTTAGTGGCACAAGTAAAAATCGCAATACGGGCAACTACCTAACAAATGTGTGTGTTGTTCTTGTGCATCTACGGGTGAAAGTAGATCACTAGGGGATTGACTCTGGAGCTGAATCGTCTGTACACACTCTTCTGCTCACGAAACCCGGACTTTGAGAAAAATGGGAAGGTGTCCATAGTATCACACTCTCTGGGCTGCGTCATCACCTTTGATATTATGACGGGCTGGGACCCGGTGCGCTTTCATCACGAAGCAGAACTTGACCCGGAGGAAACAAAGGTTCGGTGGCCGAGTGATGAAGAGCGTCACCTTCAGGAGCAGCTTAGAGTCACGCGCCTCAGGTACTGCACAAGTTATTAAAAGCATGAAGAAATTTGATGAATATGTGTTGCCTTTCCTGTCACAACAGATTCATCCTGACACTCTAATGCTATTTAATAAAATATCATCAAGTAACTGACATTCACACACAGTAGTCACAGATAGAGGAGCTGTGATGTTAGGGTTAAAAGTCTGACAAACGGACAATTTTTATTTGAGCAATCCGCCAATCCTGACCATTGAAAGACCAATGACCATTGTCTTCTCCACTCAGTCGCCCACAGGATGTATCCGGACATGGATCTGGTGCTGGTTTGATTTTTGACCTAAGAAACTATTATTGCACAGTCAGGACTGTAGTGGAGGGTAAACGCACGTAAATGCCGTTTACGCACCTCTGGAATTTTGGAAATAGCGTTTACGCACCTCAAAGCTCCCTGCGCCTTGTATTCTTCCGTTGGAATAATCTGAAATAAATTTGGTTTGGTGTCATTTAAAACATATTTTCATATTGTTGAACATAAACGCTGTAGTCTGAATCATTTTCATCTGCGCTGTATGACCCTTCCATCAGTGCCTTGCAGCTGGCAACACCAATCGGGATGTAAACACCCATCCACACCCACACACACGTTGTGGATCAGCCCGCCTATTCGGAATGGATTCATTAGTTAGGTTGACTTGAGTGTTCTCTTAATGGAGCAGGGGAAGTGTTAACTTGCAGGATGGCTTTTTTCATATTACACAGTTCAGCTGTAACACCCTGGGCCTGTTTCCAGAGGCCTTCATTTTTTTAAGGCCCTATAGAGGTCCTTGCTTTTGTCTCCCCCTCCATCCCGAGGCCTACACATACTTTTCTTTGTAGTTTATTCAATGTCAAGAAAACAATAAACACATTTATTCACGGTCATTGATTGTATATGACTTTAACTGATAACATAATGCAATATAGCCAGGACAGCCTTACAGGGTCTTTGTGTTGCGTTGCTTCGCGTCAAGGTCTGTATGATCACAAAATTCAGTTTACCGACCTCTAATGTTACCACTACAGCACTGTGTGCAGTCAATATATACACAACATGGTCCACTGGATCCAGGAACCTGACAATAAATACATGTCTTGTGTATCTACACAAGACATGTATTTATTGTCAGGCATGAAAAATGGAACCTGCGCTTATCTATTTTGATACATCCCCAAAACCTCAAACTAATCCCATCCCACAGAGACCTCTCTTGATAAAAATTAAATTGGTGGGGGAAATGTCAGAATAGGATGATTCATTCATTTGAACAGATGACAGATCATATTGTCCCAAATTCAATTTTGGACAATTTAAGGTTGTCTTGTCGTATCTATTTGAACAACTCCAAACTTTCCAAAAAATATTTAATTATTACAGATGCCTGTAAAATCATCGGTCATTACCTGGGCTTGTTCCAGCCTTTTACTAGTTTGCACTCATAATTCACTACCCAGGTAACCAGGTGGTAACCAGCATGCAGCATTCAGTTGATTTCTTGGACCCACATTATATTTATTTTAGATGATAAGATTTGATAAGGTTTATTTCTGGTTTACACATAACTTAGTCCTTGCATACGGGGTTTAGGAAAATATATTTTCAATAGAAGCCATCATCATAGAGCTACAAACTACTGTTGAACCCGTTTTATTCAATTAAACAATACTGTTAACCAGTTGCTATTGTTAGTGCTTGAGCACTTTAACACTGACACGGCAACAATGTAGCTGGTCCTTCTTGCTTGGATTGTGAACATAGACATAGCTAAACAACCATGCAACCTTCCTTTGAGTCAATTTAATCTATTTTATATTATTCATTATTCTAGGTTAAGGGATTTGGAGAATCAGTTCCAGGGTCTGCGTACCTCGATTTGTGAAGTGCCTGCTTTAAAATTCAAGGTAAAGTTGTCATCAGCTGCTGCAAGACATTTCCTTTTCACCATGTGTCCTAGATGTGGTTAAAACCACAAAGAAAACATTGGATCACTCAAAGAGGCTGATTCAAATAGAATATTTTTCATATTCAACAACAACCATTCCAGACAACTAAAAGGTTGTAATTCTTCAAATTGAAATTTGCAAATTATAACCTCCATGTGTGTTCTAGGTTCACACTGCCAAACGTAACAAAACCTATGGTTGACCATTACAACTGATGCCAAGTGCACACACAATTAATGTGGAGGCTACAATTGTGGCGTTTTTTAAATTTATTTTAAAACACCTGATAACGTGGCCACATATATTGACATTGGTTGTTTCTGCAGGAAGTATGAATTTTAATTATTATGATTATTATAAAAATGTTTTCTAGTGGGAGGCAAGACATTTCTGACTTCTAAGTTGTATGGAATTTAATAATATTAGAAACATTCTGACTCATTACAAACTGTCTGATGCAAACTTCAAACTCTTAAAAACTCAAAAGCTTTTGGTCAGACAAAACATCTAGTTGGACCTACAAAGTTCTAACTACAAACCCTCTGAAAAAAGTCTAAAAACCCTTTTTTATAAAGTCTAAAGACCCTCAGTCTAAAAACCCTTTTTAGACTGCAAAACGCTATGAGTGGAGGAAACCCAACACTGCCCATCACCCTGAGCATGGTGGTGGCAACATGATGCTGTGGGGATGCTTCTCTTCAGCAGGTACAGGGAAACTAGTCAGAATTATGGGATATATGGATGGAGCCAAATACAGGGCAATTCTTGAAAAAAACACGCAGTCTGCAAAAGACGTGAGACTGGGGTGGAGGTTCATCTTCTAGCAAGACAATGACCCTAAACATATAGCCAGAGCTACAATGGAAAAGGTTTAGATTAAAGCATGTTAATGTTTTAATTTGCCCAGACGGTCTCCATCCAATATGACTGAGCTTCAGCTTTTTTGCCAAGTAGAATGGACGGACGAACATTTCCATCTCTAGATGTACAAAGCTGGAGGAGACTCCAAAAGGCATCTGTAATTGTGGCGAAAGGGGGTTCCAAGTATTGATTCAAGGGAGTGAATACTTATGCATCCAACAGATAAACTTTTTTGTTCTCATTATTGATTGTGTCACAATAAAAAAGGTATTGTGTAACTTAAAGTGCAATGTATGTTATTTTGGGTCAGAAATACATTTGCTAACTTCATGGATTTAGTTCATATTAATATATTGTACAATGTACAAGTTATTTGTACAGAAAAAATATTTTCTGGAGTCATTTATATATAAATCTTGAAATACCATGGTTCAAACTAAATTCACCCTAATTTAAAATATAAGAGTTCCAGGTCAAACCACAAAACCAGTTTTTTTACTAAAAAGCCACTGATTCAAACTATAAAACCTTTAATTCCATTGAGTTCTTATTCTCCCATGTTGAATCTGGACTTTTTTGTGTGGCAGGTAGAAAACTTCTTCTGCATGGGCTCTCCTCTGGCTGTTTTCTTGGCGTTGCGTGGGATCCGGCCTGGGAACAATGGAGTACAGGACCACATCCTCCCAACATCTATCTGCAAACGCCTCTTCAACATTTTCCATCCCACAGACCCTGTGGTGAGCTACTTATCCCGCAAATGAGTGTTCTGGATTGTAAGCGTCACTTAACCGTTATGATGTTTAGAAAGGAGTAATCACTAACAAAGTATTTTTTGCACTCACTGAAAAAGTATTTGCCCCCTTCTTGGTTTCTTGTTTTTTTGCGTATTTATAACAAATGTTTCAGATCAAACTTTTTTTTTATATTAGAAAAAGATAACAGAGTAAATACAAAATGCTGTTTTTAAATGATTCAATTTATTAATAAGGAAACTATCAAAGCCTCCCTGGCCCTCTGTGGCTATGAGTCTTTTTATCAACCTTTCTCTGCAGGATTGTTTTAAGTCATTCACATTGATTTGAATGTTTGTGGAGTATAAACGGCTGTTTAAGGTCATACCACAGCATCCCGATCAGATTTTAGTCCGGACATTTGTTTAGGCCCCTCCAAAACCTTTGTTTGGCTTCTTCTGAGACATTCAGAGATGGATCTGCTCGGGGCTTTGGATCATTGTCCTGCTGCAGTAGCTTGAAGTCACAAACAAACAGCGGGACATTCTCCTTCAGGACTTTCTGGTAAAAAGTAGAATTCATGGTTCCATCAATTATTATTGATTGATATTATTTATTATTAAGTGGTCCAGGTCCTGAAGCTGAAAAGCAGCCGCAGACCATCACACTACCATCACCATATTATATTGTTTGTATGATGTGTTTTTTATGTAATGCTGTGTTACTTTTACACCAGATGGGATGGGACGCACACCTTCCAAATAGGCAAAACAATCTTGACTATTTGAGAACTATGTGAGAGCAGCCCTTTGATATTCTCTTTGATAGATTTCTTCTTCGGACCCTCCCATAGACGCAAAATCTTCAGTTTATTTCTTAGCATTGAGTCACGGACACTGACCTTAACTGAGGCCCGCAGTTCTTCAAATATTGTTCTGGGGTCTTGTATGACCTCCTGGATGAGTCGTTGATGTACTCTTTGGATAACTTTGGTTGGCCAGCCCCCCCTGGGAAGGTTCACCACTGTTCGAAGTCTTTTTCATTTGTGGATGTGAGAGACCAGGGTACACATGAAGCTAGGAGAGTGGGTCAAGTGGGAAAAGTAGGGACTTTATTAACCCAATATATTTTCAAAGTAACAAAATCAAACAGTGACTAAATAAACACAACATACTTGCAATTTCAACCTAATTAAGAGGAACTACTTTAAACAACATGTGTGCTCTACTGCAAAAAAAAAAAACACTAGTGGATTTATCCCCGAACTGCAGGTTTATATTAAGGTGGCCAGTCCATAGCTAATTGCAGGGTGTGAGGACGTTCCTCCTCTGTAGGTCTGAAGTGAGGGCTTCTGACAGTGCCCCTCTTGCATCTGCAGAATGGAACAGCTCAATTAACAAATTGACCTGTGATGACAACTTCTCAGTCGTTTGCCAGGACGATAGTGAGCTATACCCACTGACAGGAATATCAAAACTCTTAAATTAAGACTAACAATTATCAACGTGCACTCAAACAAATAAAGTGTCCCAATTCAAATAATGATACCTCACCGTCATCACCACCGGTTGACGTTGTGGTTTGTTGCATCCGCCAAAGACATAGAAATGGCCTTGTAACACTTTAGACTGATTTCAATTAATTCAGTTCAAATCACAGTTCTTTCATAATTTATCAACCGGTGGGGGGAAAAATACGCTTTCACAGAGGACCATGTAGAGGGAAAATATGCAAATAAAAAAAGAAACCAAGGAGGGGGCAAATTCTTTTTCACAGCACTGTTGCAGTTATATTTTGTTATCATTTTAAAATTTAAAGTCAAAGTTGAGATTTACAAGTAATATTTGAACTACCACTGAAGGGAACACTGCTGTTAAGAAGCACCTTATTTGTTTAAAGTTTTTAAAAGTGCGATAAAAAAAGAAATAAGAAAAGGTTCTATCGCAGTCAAAATTTAACAAACCAATTATCTTCAAATAAAATGTGTAAAAATATTAAATGAACTATGCTCTTTTTTGTTTCAGGCATACAGATTGGAGCCTCTTATCTTAAAGCACTACAATAGAATTGCACCGGTTCAAATCCACTGGTAAGAAAAAGGGTAGCATATGACATACGGTACGGAAAGCATTCAGACCTTTACATTTTCCACTTTATTTCATTGCAACAATTGCCAAAAAAAAAGTTAATTTTATTTCTAATTAATGTACACTCAGCACACCATCTTTACAGAAAACAAAAATGTAGACATTTTTGCAAATTAAAAAAGAAACCCTGAAAACGGGTCATAAGTATTCAGACCCTTTTCTCAGTATTGAGTAGAAGCACCCGTTAGAGCTGGTACAGCCATGACTCTTCTTGAGAATGATGCTTTTCACCCCTGGATTTGGGGATCCTCGGCCATTCTTCCTTGCAGATCCACTGCAGTTCCGTCAACATTGGTGGACAGCCATTTCCAGGTCTCTCCAGAGATGCTCAATTGGGTTTAGGTCAGTGCTCTGGCTGGCGCAGTCTGACGTCCTGAGCATTCTGGATGAAGTTTTCTTCCAGCATTTGTCGCATTCAGCTTTCCTTCAATTGCAATTGTCGTCCTGTCCCTGCAGCTGAAAAAAAAAACCTATAGCCTGATGCTGCCACCACCATGTTTCACTGTTGGGATTGTATTGGGGAGCTGATGAGCAGTGCCCAGTTTTCTCAACCCAAACTGCTTAGAATTAACGCCAAAAAGGTCAATCTTGGTCTCATCAGACCAGAGAATCGTATTTATCATAGTCTAAGTCCATGTGTTTTTTGGCAAACTCTATGCGGGCTTTCAAAAGTCTTTCACTGAGGAGAGGCTTCAGTCGGGCCACTCTGCCATAAAGCCCTGACTGGTGGAGGGCTGCAGTGGAACATTCTCCCATCTCCCTAATGAATCTCTGGAGCTCAGCCACAATGAGATTTGGGTTCTTCTTCACCTCTCTCACCAAGGCTCTTCTCCCACGATTGCTCAGTTTGGCTGGACGGCCAGGTCTAGGAAGAGTTCTGGTCGTCCCAAACTTCTTCCATTTAAGGATTATGGAGGCCACTGCGCTCATTGGGAACCCTGAGTGCTGCAGAACTTATTTGTAACCTTGGCCAGACCTGTGTCCTGCCACAATTCTGTCTCTGAGCTCCTTGGGCTGTTCCTTCGACCTCATGACTCTCATTTGCTCTGGTATGCGCTGTAAGGTCTTATCTAGACAGGTGCGCTCCATTCCTAATCAAGTCCAATCAGTTTAATACAACACAGCAGGACTCCAATGAAGGAGTAAATCCATCTAAAGGAGGATCAGAAGAAATGGACAGCATGTGAGTTAAATATGAGTGTCACAGCAAAGGGTCTGAATATTTATGATCATGTGATATTTCAGTTTTTCTTTTTTAATACATTTCTGTTTTTTCTGTCAAGATGGGGTGCTGAGTGTACTTTAATGAGAAATAAAATGAACTTTTTTGATTTAAGCAAATAGCTGCAATGAAACAAAGAGTGAACATTTTAAAGGGGTCTGAATACTTTTTGTACCCACTGTAATTCTGGTTATTCATGAATTCTCATGGGGATTTCATTAAAACAGCAGATGCTGTGATCTCATAAAATATTTTTTGCATTATCCACAGTTGCCAAATTATCAAATTTTTGTAAAACTTACTTTAATCAGGAGAGGCAAGTCAAATATTGAAAAGATAATTTCAATCATTAGACACTGAATGGATTTAAACAAAATAAATCAGCAGATAATTACTAATGCAATAAATATGATACTCCTGCCATATACAATATACCTGTTTATTATTAGAAGCATTTAGAAGCCAAGATAATTTAGCAGATTACTGAGAATAGAACAATTAAGAAACATAGAATAGACGAATCCTTCCCCTGACATACAACCACACTTACGTGATTACCCGATATGATTGATATCAGAAGACAATTAATATCGGCCATTAGTAGAAATCGGTTAAAAACGGAACGGAGTTACACAATAGATATGCACACTGGTTTTAATTATGAGTAATCTCAACATGATGCAGATTATATTAACTCTTGAGTAGAGGGAGGACAGTCGGAGAACCACTGACCGTGATATCCTTAAAAGCCCACTGGTGGACACGAGTTGCGAGATGACATGAAGGAAGAGAGTTGCCGTTAACACAAGTACAGCTGAAGACAGAGTGAGGACTACGTGTTTCTGTGGCTGAGGCTAATGTGGATGTGATGTGCAGGTACAACACCACCAGCCCAACACGGTATGATGAGATCCGACAGACGCTGCTCAACCCATCTCTCTCTGACTCAGAGAGCATTCCCAGCCCCTGCACCTCCCCAACCCAGGCCAGACGGCACTATGGAGAGTCCATCACCAGCCTTGGGAAAGCCAGTATTATGGGTAAGCACACAGTAATGTAAAAGCTAAAACAGGTCCGAGCTGAGAGAATCTGGAGCATGTAAACATGCTTTAAACCAGGGTTTCCCAATAGGTTGATCGCAATCCACCTGTCGATCGCAAAGGCAGATATATACTGGGATAAGGTATGATAAACAGGAAGGTGTTGCGTACGCACATTGATCTCATTATACAAAGATCGTCATGTTCTTTATCCTGAGACATACATCATGATGAGACACGGAGTGGCCTTCTGGAGACCGGACATACACGTCACACAGATTTCATATCCTCAGCAGTCATCTTATCTCGACTGACATGTCATATACCCAACTTATTGTACAAACGATACAGACATAGTCTTGTTTTGTCTAAACACCCCTTCTTGACATGACATTATTGCAGTTTGTATAACACATAATAAAGACACAAACAAACCTTATAAGACAGGGATGATGTCAGGCAGAGTATGTCTCTGCTGATTGGGTTTCGCAAGACAGCTTCGGTCGAATGTGGCAAAAATGATTCACTTCGCTCCATTCGTTTCGTTCGCATCCTTTGCACCGTGCCATTTGCGCTGCCAGTTGAAGATTTGCTTCATTTCGAACCATTCGCGTCAGTGCATTGACCTGGCATAGAATATATTAGATGCTTTTCGTATGAACAGACCATTAGTATGGGGTCAGATCAGTCTCAATAATTGCAAATGCAAGATTCACAAATGTGCACAGAGCAATTCACAAATATATTTGATTTACAAATGCAAACTAAACGATTTACAAATACATTTCAATGCACACATGAATAAATTGAGAGTGATATTTATATTTGTTTGCCGATCGCTTCAAATTTGTGTGTGGGCTTTTTGAGACTCGTCTGACGTGAGTAGATCCACAAATGTCTTTTTTTCATTGTCTCTACCAGACGCCATTGTTTGCTGACTTCGGACCCGTTGCATCGCAAGTTGCGTTGCTGTATTGCTGCCAGGCTCGTGGGGAGGAAGGGAGCTGCGCTTTTGTGATTGGTTGAAAATGAGGGCCACATCTGATTGGCTACAAACAACTCCATGTTAGAAAAAACGCATTTGTGCATCTGAAGTTGAACGGCAATCTAGCATCAGATTCTGCAGAAATAGCATTAATATTGGTAGTAGTAGTACTAGCTGCAGGAGTAATATTACCAGCAGGGCTGTAGTGGAGGGTAAACGCACGTAAACGCCGTTTACGCACCTCTGGAATTTGGAAATAGCGTTTACGCACCTATAAATAGCGTTTACGCACCTCAAAGTTCCCTGCGCCTTGTATTCTTCCGTTGGAATAATCCGAAATAAACTTGATGTAAAACAGCTGGGACTACGTTTCCTATTGTTGAACATATAAACGCCGTAGTCTGAATCATGTTCATCTGCGCTGTATTACGTTCTGTGAGCATCCAATCAGTGCCTTGCGGCTGCAGCAGCGACCAATCAGGATCCAGGAGGTGTGTAAACACACGTTGTGCATCAGCCCAGTGGTCCTCAACCTTTTTTACCTCACGGACCGGTTTCATGTCAGACAATATTTCGCGGACCGGTCGAGAAGGTCCGATGGGGGGGTGTAGGTGTAGTCGTCGTTGCGGACGGAACGACCGACGGGGGGGTCACCGTCTATCTGTGTCCCTCATCCCGGTGTTTTCCCCACTCCGAATTAACTCACTGGATGGACAACCTCTGGGCACCGGGAGGATTACGCACCGGACGGAGGACATCACCCTACGGGTTGGAGCGTTGCACGAGTTGCTTCATCGTCTCATCTTCCCGGGAACCATTGATCCTAGGGCACCCATGGCTGGTGCTTCATGACCCGGTGATTTCGTGGCGACAAGGAGAGTTATTGACCTGGTCCCCGGAGTGTAAGTCCAGATGTCTGAACGTCACCTGCCGAGCCACCTCGGTTGAGGCAGCCACGGCCCCCAAGACCCAGTCAGTGCCCTCCTGCTACGAAACGCTCCAGGAGGTTTTCACCAAGAAAAAAGCCACAGAACTGGCTCCCAATCAACCGTGCGATTGTGCTATCGAGTTGCTGCCGGGGGCACCGCTGCCGAAGGGTCGGATCTACGCATTGTCCCTACCCGAGTAGGAGGCCATGAACCAGTACTTCGAGGAATCCCTGCGTCAGGGCTTCATCTGCCCCTGCACGTCCCCGGTCGCTTCAAGCTTCTTCTTCGTGGGTAAGAAGGATGGCGGGTTACGTCCTTGTATCGATTACCGTGCATTGAACGCCATCACAGTGAAGAACCGGTTTCCCCTGCCACTCATCCCGGCGGCCTTGGAACAGGTAGGAGGAGCACGCGTCTACACTAAACTCTACCTCCGTAGCGCGTACAACTTGGTGCGCATCCAGGAGGGCGATGAATGGAAAAAGGCATTCCTGACGGCAAGGGGGCATTACGGATATCTGGTGATTCAGTTCAGTGCTCCAGAATCTGCAGGCTAACCGGCTCTACGTAAACGCGGAGAAAAGCCTGTTCCATGTCTCAACGCTCACCTTCCTAGGATACGTGCTGTCGCCACGAGGGGTCGCCATGGACCAGGCGAAGGTAGACGTGTATGCAACTGGCCTACACCCAACACGGTCAAGGACCTCCAGCGATTCCTGGGGTTTTCCAACTATTATAGGAGATTTATCCGGAACTTCGGGGCAACAGTTGCCCCCCTTGCCCTTACGAGCCAGAAGAAGGCAATCTTCCATGGTCCGACGCGGCCTGGAGGGCGTTCAACACCCTCAAACGGCTGTTCACCTCGGCCCCCGTACTGACCCAACCGGACTCCGACCGCCAGTTCATTGTCGAGGTGGACACCTCCGAAAAAGGGGTCAGGGGTGTTCTATCCCAACGCACGGGGACCCCTCCCAAGATGCACCCATGTGTGTTCTTTTCTAAGAAACTGTCCCCGGCAGAAAGGAACTATGACGTGGGCAACCGGGAACTGCTATCCATCAAACTCACCCTTGAAGAGTGGAGGTATTGGCTAGAGGGAGCTTGACACCCCTTCGTGGTACTGACAGATCACCGTAACCTGGAGTACCTGAAAGGGGCTAAACGGCTAAATCTGCGTCAGGGCCGGTGGGCTTCCGGTTTACCGTGTCTTACCAGCCTGGAGAGAAGAATGCTAAGGCCGACGTGCTCTCACGCGTGTACGGGTCACCAGCGTCCACGACCGACCCCATCCTTCTAGCTTCATATTTCGTCGGACCTATTCACTGGGAGCTCGAGTCAGTCATCCAGGAGGCGCTGCGCACAGAACCGGTGCCACCTGACACACCTCCCAAACCGGACTTATGTCCCCCACGTCAGTGCGGCCTCAGCTCGTCGGGTGGAGTCACACAACGTTGGGATCAGGACATCCAGGCATTACCTAAACCACTGGTGGAACTCGCTAGCCTCCGACGTGCGGGACTACGTGCTCTCCTGTCCAGTCTGCGCGCGCACCCCTTTTCAGTGTGTGTTGGGGTACCAGCGCCCTTTTTTCCCCTGGGATACTATGCCAGGTCCAGTGCCGGCCATAGAGGACTGGTTCCGGCGCAGTGGCAAGGTATGTGAGACCGCCCATCGTCACCTCCGGCAGGCTGCCTGCACACAGAAGACGTTCGCAGACCGGCGACGACGGCGCACTCCCATCTACCAACCGGGTCAGCGGGTGTGGCTGTCTACAAGGGACTCGAAGCTGCGTCTGCCCTGCCGGAAGCTCTGGCCCGATACATCGGGCTGTTCAAGATCACCCATCGCATCAACCCGGTAATCTACCGACTGCTCTTACCCCAACATTACCATATCTCCTCAGCATCTCACGTGTCCCTTCTGAAGCCTGTCCATGCTATCCCTCTTCATCCATCTGGGCCGACCCCGACTCCACCTGCCCCGCTGGAGATAGATGGGGGTCCGGCATACGCTATCACGGCTGTGCTGGATTCCAAACGGCTACGAGACGGCCTCCATTACCTGGTGGATTGGGAAGGATACGGCCCTGAAAAACGGTCATGGGTCCGGGCCCGGGATGTCCTCTCCCGGGAACTAATAGAAGATTTCCATCAGGCACGTCCAGACCGCCCTGCACCTCGTCCGCACCTGCAGTCTTCAGTTGCTCGGCCGTCAGGAGCCGGCCGTGGAGGAGGGGCTCTGTGTGGTCTCAACCCCAGCGTGGCGGCAGGAGGCCGCAAGGGGGCGCCGAAGAACGCGTCCTTCGGAGCCAATCAGCGAAATTTGGAACACCCACGAGAGGAGACCTATAAGAGCAGGCCGACGCAGCGAGTGAGTTGTGAGGTATTACGAGTACGCGTCTTTGCTGATCCCTTTGTTTCTCTGCCACTGAATTCCAGTAGAACCAGTGAGCTCCCGTGTATTGACCTTCCGCCTTCTCTCGACCACGAACCTGCCTATTCCGTGGACCAGATACGTCTTTTGCCATCCCGTGTCTCCGAACCTCTGCCTGTCAGAGGTTTACAGTTTACAGTATAACAGTAGCCGGTGCAGTCGTAAAAATGAGTACTAGTCGTCAATGTTGTAGCAAGTATTAATCAGACACTAATCTCATAAAACATTTTTTATTTGTTCACACTAAGAATATAATTTTGTGAATCAAAATGTTTGCACGATGGTGTCCGGGGTTCAACTCCACCCGGTGGCCTTTCTGTGTGGAGTCCGCATGTTCTCCCTGTGTCTGCGTGGGTTCTCTCTGGGTTCTCCCACTTCCTCCAACTGGGTGAAATACATTCTGTTTGGCTCTTAAAGGAATAGATCTGCCTGTTCCGATGAATTGAATTGAATCCTGGTAAAATGGGCCGAGCGGGTCACATCCAGTTTTTTTGACAGTCATCAGGACTGATGACGTTTCACAAGAACACAAGTCCAGACAAGAGCCCATATTGAGAAACGGTTCGCATTGAGGAGTAAAGGTACAGCAAGGATGTAGATGGGCTGTTCATGCAAACTCAAGGACCCTGCGGTAATGAGACAGTTTGGTTCTGTCTAACTAACATGTAGACTGCAGGTGCCAGGGATCTAACCACCGATTGTTTGATTAAGGAGCCAGACAGGCCGAAAAGTGCATTGCGGTGGTGGTACAAGCCGTCAAGTATCTGCTTTCTGCTTGGTTGAGAATGGGATCTTAGCTTGAGGGTCAGTTAGGGAGGTGGTGATACCTGTCCGAGGGATTAGTTGATTCATGAGAACAGTTAGGTCCAAACATTTTATCATGTGATTAGTGCTGGGCTGCTCATCGAAGTTTTGGAGCATTTTACTTCACTGACTGAAATGAACGATTCTTACTGCCTCTCAGGTGCTGCCAGTCTTGGAAAGGGAATAGGAGGAATCCTGTTTTCCCGCTTTTCCCGTTCTGGTGGCCAGGTGGGAGGAGTGGAGGACGACCCATCATATCCAGAGGGCGGGACCTCTGAAGTTGAAAATGTGACTGAAGTAGACGCAGGAGCGGCTGTGGCAGAGATTGAAGAAGAGGAAAAGGAACTAGAGCAGGGAAGGGCAGAGGTCGAGCCAGCCCTGTACCAGTCCGCCTCAGCTGTCCTGGAAAACACCTCCAGTAAGTAGTATACTTTTTGTCAAACTTTGGCAACTTAGGGGCAATTTTTGCCCCTAATAACTGAAATCCAAGGGTATTTTTTGTAACTTCTGAAATTTTGTTGAATTTGTTCAAAATAATAAATATACTTATTTGGGCTTAGTTTATGAGCGATAATATCAAAAAACATTAATAAGACTATTAGTAGTTGCAAAGTGTTTTCTTTCTTTTCTTCTTTTTTTGAACCAAAACAAACAGAAGTAAATATTTTTTTTCATATTTAATTTTGTTATTATTACGTTATTTTAAACTACATTTTTTCTTTCACTTTTTATTATTATTTCTAATAACTTTTTTTGTTACTTTTAATCATGTTGTACCTACGTAGTTCAGGAAATACAGATATTCAAAACGAAGAACAAAAAAAATTACAGTGACCTGGTCGGAATAAAAAAAAGGACCCCAGATTTTACCACTTGGCCCAAATCCTTCCTGTGCTTTGATGTTTTCAAAGTCCATCAGGACTAAGACCTCCCGCCACACAAACAGTTTCTTCCCGTCGGCAGTCGGGCTCGGAACAGAGGCCGGTTCCCCACTGACTGACTCTGATATCGTCTCAATAGTGCGGACAGACGAGAGAGGTAGCGGCAAATTACAAATAAAAAGACGGTAGGAAGAAAAGAAAGATAGCGAAATTTGAGGAAAAGACGAGTGAGACGGACAAAGTGAGAGAAAGGGACGGGTGAGAAAAATGAGGAAGAAATGGCGCACCTGGGGCACCTGGGCTACTTTGCGGAAATTTGTTCATATTTGTAAAGGCTATTTTTTTGCCTTTGTCCTGGCTGACATCCATAGAACATTTTTGTCTGTTCTGCAAAATCATTTTATACTGTAAATGTTATGACCTATGGTGTAAAATAAAATGATATATATTTATATTATACATATTACAGTTAAATCCATAACCTGGGATATTCTAAAATCTACACACACCAGGTTTTTAACTAGCTCAGGGTTCACCAGTAGACTATAACTACAGAACTGGGGATTTGTTCAAGTGGTTGAAAGAGCACTTTGAGGAACTGTGGAGAATGCAGTCTCACACAAACAGCCTCATCCACTTTTCCTGGTTTACAAGTTTGTTCAACTTGGAGAACTTGGTTGCATGAGAAAAGGGGCGCTGGAGGGTTTGTTACATTTATCAGGACATCATGGAATTCCATCCTGGTTGTAGAAAAGTTGTAAATGGTAACTGATATACTTGTATAGAGTTGTTCTAGTCTTCCGGCCACTCAAAGAACTGTAAAACTACGTGTCATCATTCACCCAGGGGCCACCTTTCCATCCGGTTAAGTTTAAACACATTGACATGGGGGACAACCCTGCACTACCAATGGATCACAATCATTTTCCATATCCAATCAGCATTGATATCCTCTGCTCGTCATCACCGCCGTCCTGCTGCCAAAGCATGAATATACTTTATGCAACTGCCACTCACCGGCGATAGACAAGAGCTCCGCAGATGAGATTGAACGCCTGTAAGGCAATTGGTGTCCAACCGAGAGTTCATTGCACCGATCCGAGCCAATGGGTCATTAAACTGGCTACTGGTTAGCCTGAAGTAACGCAGGATGTTGCAGTCATCCAGACACACTTCTTGGAGGAGCTGGCTCTATTCACAAAGCTTTATGGGGCGGCATATGATCTCATGAACCCAAACACGACAGCGTTTGGTTCTGACGTTTTGTGTAATTTCCACAACAAGTACAGAGCAGAAATTATGGTTATTTCCATCGTGGATACCGGAAATGATAAATGTCAAGCCAAGAAGATGGTCAAATGAATTTCCTCAGGGCTCAACCGCAGATAGACAGATTCAGGAGCTCATACAGTACATCTGGAGGGAAGGTGGAATAGAGCCACATTATAAAAGGTGACATTTGAGGGAGTTTGTGCATCTGATCACAGTGCTTACCCGCGGCCTCCTTTGAAACCTTTTTGAAGGTAGGCAATGTAACGAATATCAAGGGTAGCACCAGAACACGCTGAACAGATTATATACTCTCACTGGACACTTTATTAGGTACACATTATTTTCAGGGAGCAACCGGTACTTTCTGAAGTTTTTTTGCAATGTGAATTTGCGGTTGTTTTATAATAAAGGGTTGGAAATTAAAGTTTTTTTATGCTGTTTTAAAAAAAATCCAATTCATTGATTAATCGATTATCAAAATAATTGTTAGTTGGAGCCCTAGTAAATTCTCATCAGACCAGGGAGCGTTTTCGCAATCTTCTGTTGTCCAATTTTTGTGAGCCTGTGTGAGTTATAGTCTCAGTTCCCTCACTTCTGCTGCTGCAGCCCATCTTCTTGCCACCAACACGTGGTGCGTTCAGAGATGGTATTCTGCATTCCTTGGTTGAAACAAAACCCCAAAATATGAACAAAGACCACCAGGGTCAAGAGAACAACAACAGCAAAAGGGTAAACAGGGTTTTCTTATCCTGAATGCACCTGGATTCTAATCTGTCATTTCCTTTGGTCTAGTGGAACTGGAAAGACGCATCGACTTCGAGCTGAGGGAGGGCTTGGTGGAGAGCCGCTATTGGTCGGCGGTGACCTCACACACGGCCTATTGGTGCTCTTATGATGTGGCGCTGTTCCTCCTCACCTTCATGTACAGACCACAAGAGCCTTTCGAACCTGCAGAAGACAACCTTGAGATGTCATAACATGGAAACTGGACACTAGTTTGGGTCATTTCACTTTCAATCACACCTTTGTAGATATAGATTGAAAGACTCATTTAGGAAATAATGCAAATACACATTGTAAAGTCATGACAATTTAACATTTTTAAATATATTATTGGGAAATGTGAAATATTGGAAATGTAATTAATTGTGTTCGTCCTTAGCTACCTTAGATCTGTGTAGGCTATCCCCTCCTATTTACGGTTTCCAATTAGTGTTCTTCACCATCATCATGAGCCACAACTGGGCTGAATTCAAATTGTCAAATAAATGACCTCCTAATGTCTATTAAGTGGTCAAGGACAGGTCGAGGACATTAAAGTATGTAGTTATGCGACGGGAGACGCATGTTAGTGACATCAGTCAGCAACACTGAAACTACAAAACTACTGGTTTGCTTTATATTTACATATATATATAGATATACACACATATATATACATATATATACATACACACACACATATACACATATATATATATGATATATATGTGTATATATATGATATATGTATGTATATGTGTATATATATTTATATATATATGTTTATGTGTATATATACAGTATGTATGTATATATATATATATATATATTATATATATAAGAAAAACAAAACATTTTTTAATTGCAACAGTCAAGGACAATGCCAGCTGCATAATGTGACATGCGCACACTCCTGGTTACCACTCTAAACGTAAACACGTTTTGATATATATGTGTATACATATGTATGATATATATATGAATGAGATATATATGTATATGTGTATATATATATATATAAAGAAAAACAGTCAAGGACAATGCCAGCTGCATAATGTGACATGCGCACACTCCTGGTTACCACTCTAAACGTAAACACGTTTTGATTAAACGTAAATATCCAGAGTTACGCTACATAGACAGAAAACGCAATTATTATAGGTTTACAGACCCTCGCATCACTGCTACTCAATGAGCAGTGACCTTCAGTTGAAGGCTGTAGCGACAAAGGAAGGAAAGGAATTACTGCTAAAAAAAAAAAGATACTATCCGGTTATGCTACTGTAATATTAACCCATGTGTTGTATCATGTTTACATTGAACTGTTGTTTATGTCTGGAATAAAGGACATGATACCTTTTATATAACTTTTACTTAACTCTCCGACTCGCTCCCCCGACTCCTCCAGTCGACAGCATCACTGACCTCCCTTCCCCAATGTACTTTCAGTTCCATCCCTTCTTCATATGGAAGCCAGAGAACTATTTAATGGCTAGATTGAGGATCAATTACACCCTGCCGTGCATTGAAGGCTGTGCCCGGCCTTAAGTTGCCTCTGCAGGTCTGGGAAGACCTCGTGTCATTGTTGGTGTCACCGGACAGTATTACCTGTTGTCATCTAGGCTGTGCTGCAAAGTCTGCAAGAAGAGGTGGTACGCTGACAACCTACTGTGGCCAGAAAAACTTCCAAAGAGGTTCACAAACCAGCCAGCCGTACAGACCTACAAGAAGGCACTCTGTAAGTCAGTCGTGGACGAGCTCAGGCGGACGGGTAACTCACCAACCGACATGACCAAGCAGATCATAGAGATGATGCACGTGAAATTTGAACGTGCTCACCTGGCCTACCTCCTCAGCTGGGCAGGAAAGTCCGACCAAAGAACCATCACACAGTTCCTCTGGCAGGAAACAAAGCCAGCCTCCTTCGGACAGTATGGGGATTCGGATGGCGGGAACGGAATCTCTGTGTCTTCGCACTACTTGACTGACTGCCTATTGCATGAGTACCATCACCAGGAGAGTGCCATCAACACACAACTGTAGGGTACTGCAGACCTTTGGACAGGCTTTCTGCTCAGATCACACACGCAAAGTTGCGAGGAAGGTCATCTTTTCATCCGGCACCATGTCCTCATATGTGGTCATGAACGAGAACTGGATGATCCTTTCGTGTGTGATGGTGCAATCTGAGACGAAGAAGTCCCGGAAGCCCATGTACGAGGGACTGGCACAGCGCTACAGCGCTGCAGGCATAGAAAAGGCACAATATCAGTGGGTAGACAGATAAATTATATCAATATTTTTACCATCATTGGTGACACAAACAGCTCATTGTCACAACTTAATTTCTTTCCATTTTTCTCAGTTTAAGTAAAGAAAAGCCCTTTGCATTCAATTTTATTTTGACGACCATATACACTGGAGAAAACACACGGTGGTCTATATGACTGCTGTCACATTGATGGCTTTACTTTTATATTTTCTTTCAGAGATTGCTGTGTTGTATTCAAGGTGGCAGAGCAGTTTGCAGGAGAGCATCTGAACTGGGATTCTTGGAAAACAACAGATGCAATCGTTGCCGATGTCACTTCTGGTAACCTCCGAAACCCATGTGCTTCAAGATCACATTTTAATGCAAACATTAATATCAAGCTGGACTTGTTTTACTGCATGAGGCGGTTCCTCCGTGAGTGTGTGTCGGAGCATCACAGCCTGTGCAGTTTCTTTGCTCAGTTCCTCTCTGCAGCCTTTTTTTGTGGTGGATCAGGAAGACCTGCAGCGGCTTAAAGAAGCCTACACCTTCTGTGGTATTCTGCCTGCCAACCCGACCAAGCAACACATCCGAGAGCACTGCAGGATCAGAATTCCGCTGCCTGAGGAGCTCATCAAGAGAGTCAAGGGAGTTTTCCAGCAGTTTCACCTGGCAAGTGACCCAAATGGCGCTCCTCTCTGCAAGCCCTCAGACATGGCGGATTCAGAGAGTACACAGCCTGTGGGGCTGCCTGAGTGATCCTGGGGTGGAAGGTGGGATTTTGTACAGGAATGGAGGAACATTGCAGCTAAATCATGTGCAGGGTGAAGGGGCCAAAGTTCCTGTTTGGATCCCCATCAGAGGCACATCCCAGCAGGAGGGCTTTCACTTCCACCAGGCTCAGTGGGTCACTGGAACACGTGTTTCCACGGAGGTGTTCCGAGCTCAGGGGATGACTGGGGTGGCACGGTGGAATTACCAGTGCCTCGTGGACTTACAGCAGCCTGGTGTTAACCTCCCAGCTGTTTTTGATCCAGCATTGATTGGACACAGTCTCTGAACGGGTCTTGGGGCATGCAAAGTATCCAGCTTTTTATCCCGCTAGCAGACACTGGAGAGAAGTTCGACCTACAATACGTTGAGCCTGGTTGCCGCCCAGTTCCTCTGGACTGGAACAAGCACAAGAGAAAGACATATCACCCCCAGGCCCGGAATCCACCTGCTAAAAGTGATCCACTCGCTACCCAGTCGGAGGTTCCTCCGTCATCCTCACTGGCACCATCAAGGTTGTTCCAGTTTTCTCCATGCCCCCCTGCCGATTCTGCTGTGAAACCAGATGTGAGTCCCAGAACAACGTCAGGGCCTCGGGGAGAGCCAGGTGACACAGTGATGGACAACATATCAGCGCTAGTTAATAGTAACATTTTTATGGATAGCGTAATACATTTGTTTCACTTTTCCATTTTTTTACAAGATGTGAAAATATATTTAGGATGTTATTAACTAAACATTTACATACAAATACCAGTCGGTCATGAGCTATTAATGAAAGTTTATATTTATTATAGAAGTATTTGATTCTATAGGTCAGAATGACTTATTGTACTCCGTCTTTTGTTCTTGTAGAAACCCCACGTCTGCCCTCACCAGCTGGTGCTCGCACTGGACCTGTGAAGACAGGAGGGAGAGTGTTTGTTTTGGACCACAAACGATGGCTGATTCTGCAGCGTCATTCCTCATTGAGAAATTGGCAACACTGGTTCAATAAAGACTCTCTTCGGGACTTTTCAATTGTTACTAATCACGATAACTACAGAATAAATACCACCCGGAACGTATTTTATCTCTCTAGGAGTTTGATTTATTTCGGACTCGGAAACACCGAAGATAATTTAGACTCCGCTAAAAGTCGGACGTCCTTGTCCTCCCTGTTTGTTATGAGAGTGGAGTGAGAGGGTGCAAGTGTCTCTGTAGAACGTTTACAGTTCTAAGATATTCACAGATTCAGACTGGTTTAATAGCTGGTCAGCGAGAGGTTGTTAAACTGTGTGGCCCTAGACCGTAGTCACCAAGTTATAACTTTTAATCTCATCATTATCTCATAATTTTGACGTTCTTAAGGGTTAGGGTTAGAAAAAAGTGGGGGTATATATATTTTATAAAACTGTTCAATTGTTAAAATGTTTCATTATTTATAATTGTCTGAGACTGTCAAGTTCAAATGTGAAACAGAAAAGGGGAAATGTGAAGATTTCTTCCCTTTATTTTATTGTAACACAATTTTCACATCTTATTTATTTTTTTATTTTGAAAGGCAGCACTACTTTCTTAGTTATTGATAGAACATTATTTATATTTGCAATCTTACACCTAAGTTCAGTTCTTTTTACGTGGCAATAAATACTGTCAAAGGGGTTCTGAATTGTACTGAATTAATTTGATTTATCAGCTGTGTATTGATTAAATGCAAATGTTGATACAACTCGATTCCTTAATCACACTAAATACACATTACGATCTTCCAGACCTTTGCTTCTAGAAATGGTCTCTAACTGGACCTCATTACATCTTAGTTGAATACCCTTGCCCTGTATGCACAGGTCAAACTCAATTTTACAGCAGGAAGTGGCAGCTCTCTCTTAGTAAAAGTGGGATAGAAGGGAAAAATGTGGGATGTCTGCTTTGGTAAAAGAATGGGGGTGCAGATAGTTTTACAATAACATGTTTAGGTTATTTCTTAGTAAGGACTCATCCTGACCTCCCCCCATCGTGCACTGCTCCTCAATAAGAGCCTATTCATGCGATGTCTCATTCTCCCTCGGATGGCATCTTTGAAGGTCATCGGTCTGACTTACTGTCAGGATTTGCAAAGGGAGGACTCAAACGCAAAACAGGTTTCAAACTAAAAATGACATTAATAACTGCTTGCCCTGTGTTTCTGTATCTGCTAAATCTCTAAATAGACAACAAAAACGACTGTTTCAGAGTTGTTCCCGGACTCTATAGGGCCATTGTACATTATTTACGCTTCTAAAAAGAAGCAGCATAAATCTGGGATTTCTGGCATTTGATTGGCTGAAATGCAACATGTCAGATCATTGGCACTAGGGAGTGTTTAGAAATTATTTTCAGAATATTTTGTGATGAGAAATTATATTTAGAGTTATTGTGCCTATTCTGTACCTACCATTCCCTTTTGTGATTCTTCAACAATGAACAATTTGAATATCCATAGATGGATAGAAGAGCACAGGGCTGACTACGTTTTAATGGGTAGGGAGGGTCTATGAGACAGCCATTGTCTGTTTTCTGACTCCCAAGCCTTAAACCACGTGCAACCTCCTCAAATGGGATGGATTGTCTTTTTTGCGCTTTCAGAGCAAGGCACGCAGCTTTGTTTGCATGGGGATACATTCATGACAGAATCCTGGGACACAGATATTTCTATAACGGGCTATTGATCTAGTGTTGGAACTAATAAGAAAAGCAGGCAGGAGGCTGCGAAAGAACCCTACAAGAGTCGGAGGAAACGGACAAGAACAGGTAGGCTAACCTGTCGGTCAAACCTGACAGACAGACGAAACATGAAGCAGAAATTGTAAAGATGAATATATTTGTATCTGCATTAGCCTCTTTACTATTTGCACCGATGATTGTTTAACTGGGCTTATCACTTCATCATAAAGCTCTTCCTAACAGCAGCATCTGAGAGTATTATAGGAAAACTGATTATTTATATGGATTATATGGATCGCTCATTGATAACAGAACAAAGTAAATGGTTTAACTCACTTTTCAAGGCATGTTTTCTTCATAACAGTCAGTCATATTACTTTAATACTGTGAGAACTGCAGCCAGAGATGAATTAAGATTGATTATGACTTTTTTTATTAAAACGTATTAATTGACAAAACTGTTTTAAATGTGTGTATATATATATATATATCCTGAAGTGCAAATCCGTCGTCCGACCTGGGTATAGGGGCGAAAGACTAATCGAACCATATATATATATATATATATATATATATATATATATATAGCAACAATTAAAATGCATAATATCTATCTATCTCTCTCTGTGTATATATATATATATATATATATATATATATATATATATATATATATATACAGAGAGAGATCGATATTATGCATTTTAATTGTTGCTAAACTACATAAAGTCATTAAGTACACTAATGTCCATCCTGTGAAGGTCTCAGGACTACAATGACCATTCAGTCTGCTATCAACAAAGAGGTCTTCATTCCTCATGATGAGCGCCTGTTAGTAGCAGTGGAGGTGCGTAGGAGGAAAAGGAAGAGAATGTCTTTCCTGCCTACTGGAGCCAAAGGAGACTACGTCACATTCATCTGTGTTTCAGGTTAAATCTGACTTTTAAAGATTTTCGTTATTCGGTGAAAGTTAGATAAGTCTGTATTGCAAATAGTTTGTTGTTTACAGACATACAGCAACGTCATTAAGTTCATCATGTTAGAAAGAGCCTCTCTCCTCAGCAGACCGGTTTGAGGCTAGAGGTTCAACTCCCTAATTCACTGGCTGATGTTATTCATTAGAGCCTAACTTTGAAATTGCGGACAAAATAGAAACAGTTAAGCAAAGCTGAATACAAATGAATTACAGTTATTCCATGCGTCAACGTGCAGCCTTTGTACACTGATGTGTGTGTGCGGGCAGATGTGGCACTTCCAGTATTTTTGAAGTGTGCAGTAGGGAATGATCAGCGTCTCTTTGCACCATTCCAGTCAGATACTAGCTTCTGCATAGTCCTTTGTGTTTCTTTTGTATTTTATAAGTTTGCTCTGACACATTTCTTAAGGATGACAAATTTTTCTTTTCGGATTTTTCTTTTTTCATGATTTCCTTTATTTATTTACCACCTAGTTATACCAATAGGTCGAAAAGTACAAATGTGATATCCTCGCCATTTGCCTAATATATTGATGTTTTATTTAAAGGTTTAGTTATTCATATTCAGAGTCAGTATCCTCAAACATCGTATCAAATTTCAGGGGTAAGTAGTGGGGAGCTTCAGAGCTAAAAGCTGATGACAATATGCTTCATTATAGGAAGTTCAGTTTAAAGATTCTATTCTTCAGCACTTCTGTACCATTGCAGCTTTCCAACCACCCTACCTCCTGTTTATGTGATTGACCCTTTTGATATTGTATGCTTGCTAAATATGAGATTTTTATTCACCATATATAACGGTTTATATAAGATCAGTTACTGATCAAGTTTTCCCGGACAATTCTTGATGAATTGCCAAGGTCAAAAAAGTCAAGATACTTCAGTATGTCCATCCCTGTGTATTTCGTGCAGTTATTAACTTATATTAATATTATTATTGAAGGCTTTCATTAAGGATATCATATTTTGTATATGATTTACCTAGTGACCAACACAATACCACATCAGCTCCTAATTATAAAGGTGAAGCAGTTTGGCTCCTCTTCCTTCACCCGAAGGTCCCAGTGGACTGTAGAGCAGCTCCGACAAGTCAACGGTATCAACCCCAACAAGGTCAGTAGCATGTGGACATTCTGTTCTTATCTATGGTGGTCTATCAACATATCAATTTTCTTCTCCTGTCTGTATCCTCCTCTTCCAGGACAGCCCAGAGTTTGACTTAGTGTTTGACAATGCTACGGACCAGTGGGTGGCCAGCTCATCAGCAGAGAAGTGCATCTTTGTCCAAATCCTGTACCACGCCTGCCAGACCTACTGGGAGGGGAAAGCAGGACGTCTGGGCAAGGTGGGCCACCAGCGACGAGCTAGTCAGTGTGCTCGCCGCAATGTCGGATGTGGTCCCAGTGACTCCGCACCAGTCTCTGCATCCAGAACCCTCAAGGGCCGACGGCAGAGCAACATTCCTCCAAGAGAGACAGAGTTCATCAACTGCCAATCCAAACTAACAGGAGGTAGTTTGCTATCATTCTGGAGATTCGTGATAGGCTGGAAATAATTTAGTTCACATTTAAATGAGCCTGTTTCAATGTGTTATTTCAGATTCCTGCACCATGAATCTGGTCATCTACCGCTGCAAAGCCTTCTTTAATCGTATGAGGAGTAAAATGGTTGCAAACCAAAATCGATCACAAGTTCGAGGTAAAGCAGTGATGTAATGGGGGGATTTAAGTCATGCATATAGTGATGATGTAAGTCCATTACTTATGGTGAATACCTTGAAAACAGCCATGTAATTTTTAATTTGCCTCAGAGAACTCTACAAGCTGTACACATGTTGCAATATCCTCTGTCTCATGACCCTCACATCAGCCCAGGATTTTCTTTATTGGGAAATAAAAAAGAAATAAGCCTTGACAGAGGAGTGATCCGTCTCTCAGGATGGCCAGATGTGTAATAGGTGTACATAATGAACTAAGTAAAATAATTTCAATTTCTTCAATGCATATGATACATTTTCAGATATTAAGGAGTATTTCAAATAATGATGGAGAAATAACTTCTACTAATGATAACAGCCGCAGTGGATGTAGTCCATCCATCCATCCATCGTCAAACCGCTTATCCTGCACACAGGGTCGCAGGGGGGCTGGAGTCCATCCCAGCCAACTTCGGGCAATAGACAGGGTACATCCTGGACTGGTCGCCAGCCAATCGCAGGGCAACACAGAGACATACAACCATTCACACATCTACGGGCAATTTAAAGTTCCCAATTAACCTGATCCCCAGAGCATGTCTTTGGACTGTGGGAGGAAGCTGGAGAACCCGGAGAGAACCCACGCAGACACGGGGAGAACATGCAGACTCCGCACAGAAAGGCCACTGGGCGGAATCAAACCCAGGACCTTCTTGCTGTGAGGCGACAGTGCTAACCACCACGCCACTGTGCCGCCCTAGTGGATATAGTAGAATAATAATAATCAAAGCAGCAATGGTTTCAGCAAAAGCAAAATAAATGTGAGTACTATTGATAATGATAGAAGCAGTGGGTGTCAGGCAGCACCACAGGAACAACCACCACTCAGATGTAACCACCATCCATGAAAACCTGTCAGACAAAACAAAACAAATACTCCAGGGAAAATGTCAGTAATGTGCTTTTTTGTCAACAATATATGAAATATCAATGGTAGTAGGATTTGCTGTCAGAAGATGGCAGGAGGAAGGACCAGAGTCCAAATGTAGCCATGATCCATGGAAAGCAAAAGAGAGAGATGAGGAGAGTAGAGCTCAATGTTTTCTAGGAAGTCCGCTGGCAGTATAGGCCCCCAGCAGAATTGGGGCTGGTCCAGGCTGATCTGAGCCAGCCCTAACATTAGCGTCAGCAAAAATGAAAGCATTTAGCCTAATCTTAAATGACTTTAATAGACGGAGTACTTGATTAGAGCTTTTCTAAACAAGTAGGACGACTGTGCTCTCTACTCACCTACAGTTAGCAATTTTATATGGTCACCCCTGAATGAATAGCATAGGGTAACTTATAAATACCTTCTCCCTCAAGCTTAAGAAAAAGCACTCATGCAGCCATTTTGAGTAAATTATAGCACAATCCTCTCACCCAGATCAAGAATTTGGGTATAATTCACTTCTCTCCTGATGAGCTGACCACCCACAAATGAGGTGTCTAAAACGACACATTCTGATCAAAGATAACTCCAAAAGTATTTAGGGTGGTGCTGGATGGCAGGACATCTGCATAGCAAATACAGTGTATGTGTTTTCTGTTAATATTGAGCAAGGGAACCATATATGAGGTCACTAAAATTGGTCCAAGGACAGAACCTTGTGGAACTCTGTGACCAACATTAGTAGTCATTGAGGTTTCATCGTTTACAACAGAAACTGGGATTGATTTGATGAATATAACTTAAGCCAAGTGCGGTTTCATTAATACCAAATCAAATGTTATAGTTACTATAACAAGATGTAATGATCAATGTGTCAAATACAGCACTCGGTCTAACGAGACAAGAGCAGAGACAATTCCATTCGTAAGATCATTCATAGTTTTCAGCAGTGCTATTTCTGTCCTATGATGCACTCTAAATCCTGACTAAAAACCCTCAAACAACATTATTATGTAGAAAGGAGGAGGGGAAGCTTAGAGATAAGTCCATAGACACTTCTGGAGCAAGAGTATCTTAATTACAGCTAGGACTGTATTAAATGTTCTTTTAAACAAGACTTCTATTTATAATATCCAATAAAGACGGCAGTAAGATTTATATCTCCAGCATAGTCTGAATGGGATCCAAGAGACAGTTAGAAGGTTGATGTTGAAATAGTAAATTGGTCAAGTTTGATCGGAGAAAAGACATCTTGATACAGTATATATCAGGGTTTACTGCATTTGAGGATAGAACCGTAATAGTTAAAAGGCAGGAGATTCTTAATTTATTCGCTAGTAGTTAGAAGCTTATCATTAAAGAAGTTCATGAAGATACTTATTAGATAATGGTCTTAAAGACGGGTTCCGTGGAAATGATTGCGGTTGATTTCTTTACAATTTTACCAATTTTTTTACTTTTGTCTTACTAGTTGACTATATCTCTATAACTCTTGCTGCGGCACACACACCTCACAGACCAGAAACTTTCAGTAACACACACACACCCATAAAACCCCCCGCGGATTTATTAGAGCAACACGTACTTTAATAAAATCTCTTTCCGGAAGACATGAGGTGATATATCTTCAACATCCTATTGAGGAAAAACACCCCCTTTGACATATATCAATATGGGGGAGTCAAAGGGGGGGGTTTCCTGATGTCTCCCACATTACTCCACCCCCCCCCCTTTCCTGCCGTATTTAACATGTCCTTTTGCTGGCGGCTTTCCTGTCACTCAGACTTGGCGATTGCCTACATCTACCTACCCACCCTTTCTCCGAGCACCTAAACACACACACACACACACACACACACACACACACACACACACACACACACACTTCATCTTGTTTGCTTATGACTATGTTACACTATTCAGCCGTGTTTGCGTGTGGCCAAACAATACTTTGCTGCCTGTGTGAAGTTGTCCAGCTCTTTCCTCACTCCCACAAATATGAAGAATTAGAGACAATGTTAATACCAAATACCCAAACAAGTATGAGCGTGTGGCTAAAACTGTCAGTGGGTTCATATAAAATCTTACACAAGACAAGGCAGTAATAAGGCTGTCATTATCGACATCCACATAAATAATAAAATCCCCCACAATAATAACTTTATTGGTTTTAAAAGGACCTGTACACAGTATATTAATGCTGCTGTACCAACATCTTTGTCCTCGCAGGATCAATAAAGTAACTGTCTATCTGTCAATACATCTAAACTTAAGAACTCTGACGTAGGAATTCTTAATACGGACCTGAGGCCCTGTACAATAGAATAAAGACAATCTAGGAAAAACTACAAAGATAGTAGTAGGTAGCAGGGCCACGATAGACCAATGGTGTCTGACATAGGTAGCACAACTTATATTTGCGTGTGAGTATGTGTGTGTGGGTTAGTTGAACAATAAAGTAAAGGTTAAACACTCAAAGCAAATCCTCAACGCCGCAGTACAATACAGAAACCTGACTGGATTCTGTATAAGGTACATTTAACTTATATTGATTTAACTGAAGTTAGTTACCAACCTAACTTACAGAGATTTAATCTAAATACAACTACTGTAGCATTGAAATTGTCAGTATGATTTGGGATTCAAACTGACATACTTCCTGTCACAGGTTTCCTCCGTACCTTCACTGTATATCCAAATGAATCCTCCACTGTTTTGTCCACTCTCCTCTGTGTGGCAGAGGAGGGGAAGGTTCTCTCTGTGATGAGGCGGTCAGATGAGAGGACACTTTGTTCATTTCAGGGAGGTCGACACAATAGGCGGCCTTTAAGAAGACCAGTGCTTTGAGACAGACAGGCAGCGCGGCATTGAACCCACTGACCGTGTCATCGGATGGGTGCTGTGCCTGGCACTAAGTTACGGTTCAACAGCATCTCATGCTTACACAGTCATGCTGTGAAACGCAACTTTGCAATTAAGGAAAGATGAACAAGTTTAAAAAGGAATTTCATTGTAGTTGCACTGCGGTCATATGGTGACAGCTGATCTTGTCCCAAACTGATTTGGAGCAACACCCACTGAACAGTAGAAAGTTTGATCATGAAAAATGTTAAACGTTAAAATATAGGGAACTGTTGAAGTAATAACTGTAGTCCTAACATATTTTGTGATTAGGTTTTACATCTTTTTTATGTCTCATGCAATATTTAGCTCCTCAGAATGTCTCCTCAATCCTCGAGATGCATTTTAAGAATTGAAATGTGCATCAAGATAGAGCTCTGAGATGGAATAACCTCATAGGTGTCCATAGCAAGTTTAGCATGCAGCTCGGCTCTCCTCACTTGCTTGGGTATTGTCTGGCTGGTGCGGCCAGCTGGTGCCAGTAAACATAAAATGAAAATATGAAACATAAATTAAAAGACAGCATATAATTCTGAGTGCTCGCATTAATAAGTATCTTCTTCTTGGATATTTGTTTTCTTCTTTTATGTGTATGAACAGGTCAGCCAGGGCCATGTGTCACATGTCATGTGTCTGTGGGTAATGTAGTCCACAGGGCGAATGTGCTTGGGGGGCAGCATGGAGAGGGACTGACTCGTGCCGAGGACAAGACAGTGGAACTGATGCACAAAGCTCAGCACTTTGCAGACATTGTTCACAAGGTGACATAAATATTTTTTCTATATAAATATATATTTTGAATCATATATGTGATCCATATAGATATATTGACTGTAGTTGTTCTTCTTTAATGTTTTATTTTCACTGCAGATGGCCCTGAAGTAATCAAAGTGGGGTCTGTTGGAGGACGAATGGAATTCTACGGCTATTGAAGATGAATCCCGTAACATGAACACTAACACGTCTGATGCAGGCTGAGTAGATACAGTGAACTCGTCATGACAGTGTATAACTTCAGATTCAGTTGTATAAACCTTTAATTTAATGTTACTTACCACTTTTTGTCATAATTTTGTGTTTATCTGTGTCTTGTGCGTATTGTTTGTAGACAATGCAGGGTTAGGGTCAACCTGTCACTTTATATCTTGCCTACCGGTCTGTGTCTTTTTAGTCTCTGTCTTCTGGTCCATGTCTTCTAATCTGTGTCTTCTGGTCCGTGTCTTCTGGTCCGTGTTTTGAATAGCTGAGATGTTGATTGAAACAGTGCGTGTAGAATTTGTGGTATCCAATTTGTGAGTGAGGCCAACCAAGCTTAGCGTTTGGCCCAAATATAATGTGTGTGATGTATTAACTCAGTGATCCTGTATTTTTTAACATGTACGGCAAAAAGCAGAACTCTGCTGTTTCTTTGGAAGTAGATGTAAATTGTAGCGCTTACATTTGGGCTGTTTTAGCCATAGATAAGGGCTCTCATCAATAGCTGTTGTAGTTGTAGATCGGCTTATTTGATGAAATCGCACTTTCTTGTTCTTTTGTGTCTAAAATGCACTCATTATGAGTCGGTTTAGATAAAAGCAGCAGCTGAATGACATGTAATGTATCAAACATGGACCAATTAAAATCGAGATATTACTGGACATTTGCGCAACTGACGTCACTACGCCAGCTACGTTGTAAACATATTACCCCCGAAATTCAAAATGTCCACCGATATCACAGATCTGAGACGAGTTTTAAAACAGTAATTTACGTGTTCACGAGGAAAGAGCAGCGGATGGATTTTTTGTACAAATAGTCGACCATTGGTGAGTCTTATATTGAATTGATAAGTGTGGTTGAATGGATGCCGACTACATTGAGCAGTGCGTGTTTTTATTGATGCTGACTGACAAACATAATTGGCCGCTGTGCAATTTATTAGGCGATAAAGTCCGAGAGGCTGGACTTTGTCATCAATGTTGTTACAATCGGTTTCGAAAGCTAGCATCGCCCCAAACAGACGCTGTTTGCGATGTTTCTTTCCGGCGATCGGGTGTTAACCTAAACAACAAATCAGGTAATCTGGCTTCCATAACTTAGTGCCTTCCCTCTTATTGACATCACCGCATGTCACTAATGTCCGTAGGACGAAGAAGACCAACATCAAACAGTAATTTCGCTACTCACTCAATTTCAAATATATTTGTTAATCGGTCTGAACTATTCTCTATTGTAACTGACTGATCTAATATGTATTAGTCTGATGAAATAAACTTTTGACCTTTTTGTTGTATCTATGTACATTTTACTCAACCAATAAATGTGAGGTTTTGATATAAACATGTTGCCAGGTGAAGCAGGCTGTCATGACACAATGCCAACACTGAAGGTAGGCTGAGGAAGAGTAGCATATGTTACATACAGCAATACTTTTTAAACATACAATATGCCTTTAGAACTGGGGGGCCGCGGTCCGGATCCGGACCCAGAAGCAAAAAAAAGATGGTTGACATTTTAACGTGACAGTGGACTTTTTGACCGGCGCAGACCAAATGCATTCGAGTTAAACCATCCCACGGGATACTTCAATCAAGAGCGACTCTGCCCAAATGACAAACATTTATTACACATAACAACATTGAAATAGTGCACGATCTTTGGCAATTGAACTCCATCCTAAACTAGGATAATCAATAATCCGGTGGTGGTAGTAAAGAAGGGAGTTGATGAAAACCAAGGCTGCGTGAAGAATGCCTGATAGCTGCTGGAGGTGCTTGGCGTGGAGGAGGGTCGCATCCGGTTTTGCGCTGAAATGACACCTAGCAGCAACAACAGAGAGAATCCCGTTAAAGGTTTGACTGCAACTATATGATTTTAGACACACAGCGCCGCCTCTGTTGGTTGTATACACATGGGTTTTACGCTTGTCTGCAATGAATGGACAGTAAAAGCACTGCTTATCCTACCATTCCTTTGTATTTGATTATGCATAACAGCTATCTGTCTGCTACTATAAACATCACAGAGCGTTACGTCCCAACGCTAACTAGCATCACACTAAGGGGATAGCAGATAATGCTACCCGGGTTATCACTTCGCCTCTGGGAATTTGACCTGATCGTGTTGATAGGTTAGTTGCTTATGTGCATGGCCTACTCTGTGGAAGACCCGGCACGGAACAGATGCCGGTAAATGCTGCGCCCCTTCGTTCTGCTGGGATGTGGAGGGTTGACTAGTCATACCGAGGGTTAGCCGCGAGAAGACCCGGGGCCTATTTAACTGTTCAATTGTTAAAATGTGTTGAGATTTATTCATAATTTGCTGAGACTGTCAATTCCAAATGTGAAGCAGAAAATGGAAAATTCAAGCTTTTCTTCTCGTTAGTTTATTTTTTCTGAATTGAAGCACTTTGTTTGAACATTTTCAAATGTATTATTATTATTATTTTTTAAATGCAGACCTACTTTTAATTAGTTAATTGAGAGAACATTATTTATATTTTAAGTCACATATGCATGTTCAGTTCTTTGTTACGTGACAGTAAATATTGTCAAGAGTTTTAGAATCGTACTGAATTAATTTGATTTGTGTCGTGTATTGACCAAATACAAATGTTGGTACAACTCTACTCCTCTATTTAATCACACTAAGTAGTCACATTATGATCATTATGATTTTTCTCTAACTGGACCTCTTCACATTTTAGTTGAATACTCCTGGTTTAGATACAGCTAGATGACAAAAAGAAGAGGATGTCAGTACACTCAAATGGACGTTGCTCTTTCTCATTTACTTTTCAAAGATTTTCAAGATTTTAGGCTGCAGCTATATGCTACATTTTTATTCATATTTCACAAGAATGGGGAGGACTGAAAGCCTGCATAGATCTGTGTTTTATTGACCTTAATGAAGGCTTACATATGGAAGTGTATTTTTGTCTACTATTCGAAGAAGTTAATTTTGTAACTAAAAAGCTTTTCCTGCTAAAAGTGGGTTGGAATACTGAGAGCTAAAACTTGAAATAATTTTTTTAAGTTGTTGAAAATACAGAAATTCGAAGGGCTGAATCAAATTACTAAAAAGTGCTGAAGATACTGAAATGTAGCAGTAGGAGTAACTTTAGTATTAATTCGCGTAGAAATACCAGTAGTTGTTTTTCGTCATAGTAGTAGGAGTAGTAATAACAGTTGTAGTATTACTGTTGTTTGTATACTGTAAAAAAGAATTTGAACAATAAGTCATAGTAACATAGTGTTATTTACTTCTTATAATCATCATGATTCATACAATTACAACTTAATTGTATTACGTTTTCAGTACTCCAACTCAGGTTTTTAAGCCAGTTCAACAAATTGTAAATTTGAAATGAATGCTAAAAGCTAAAATTAATTTGAAAGAATTACCGAAAATACAGAAATGGGAGAAGCTGAAATTTGAAAGAATACAAAAATGAATATTAAAACATTGATTATGATATAGACATAAGAAAAACTTTAATTATTTTAAAGAATTGCTGAAAATACAGAAATTGGAGAGGTTGAAATAATTTAATAAATTTGCTGAAAATACAGAAGTTGCAGGAGCCGAGCAGTATCAATAGCAGTTGAAACACTAGAAGTAATAGTGTTAGTAGTAGTACTAGTATTATCAGCTGTAGTACTGATACTATTAGTCATTGTAGTAAAATGAGTTGTAGTTGCTGTATTAAAAGCAGTAGAAATACTACTAGTAGTAGGGATAGTAATAGTATCAGTTGTAGTATTACTAGTAATATTAATAGTAGTTGAAGTAATAATAGAAGTATAAATACCAGTAGTACTTTTCTTATAGTACTCCCTAGTAAGAGTAAGACTAGTAAGAGTAGTAATATTAGTTGCAGTGTTACTACTACTGGTAGAAATTGTATTTTTGGTAAGAGTCATTTTAGTATTAAGAGCAGATGGAGCAGATCTAACTTTGGGTAGATGGATATGCTACTCCGGACAGTCGTCCTTTGCTGGCCTCTCTAACCAACCGTATTACGTAAATAAGTCTACTTAAAGCTGGATTAGTGTGGAGTGTCACACTGTGCTCCAGTCGGTCCCACCTCTTTCGTTGTACAACACAGACGCTGAGCAGTTCCCTGTACTAATCAGCCTCTGACGTGAGGACAGGAGAGCTCTGGCTGCCCATAGAGTAGCACAGCAAGGGACACAAACACCAAGAAAGACACATTTGTGCTTTGACTGGAGATCGTTGGGGGGCTCGGACACATGGGGGGATTAATAAGATCCACGTTTTTTTCCATCATTATTTTTCTCTGTGTCTGATCGTCTTTGAATAAGCAAAAATGGGGGAGTGGACCATATTGGAGCGCCTCTTGGAGGCGGCTGTCCAACAACATTCTACAATGATCGGAAGGTAAGTGTTGGGAGAAAAGAAAGAAAGGAATGTATCTACTTGTCCTCTTGAAGAAGAGTTTTAGAGTCATGTAGGAGTCACCGATTCATTGGACTGCATTGCACCGATTCATTGGACTGACCAGTGTAACTGACATCTGTCAGTTACACTGGTCAGTCCAATGACATCTGTCAGTTACACTGGTTTGGTTATTCAAAGCAGTTTTGAAACATAAAAAGACTGTGCTTCCATCTTTGATGATAGTGTTGATGAGCTTTATAATTACAGAATGCTGTTATTTCAGCACCAGACAGCTCCCACGCAGCTCAAGTGCCAAATATCTGCCAGGATCTGCTTTCCCCTGCACTATTATTAACACATAGGTCATAATTATTAATAAGACATTATTTCCAAAAGGGTTTATAGGTTGAGAATGTATTCGTGGTTATTAAATATAAAAGAAAATGGATTGTTCTAGTGAATGATTTAAAACAGTCTCCTGTCAATTTGACATAACATGGCGTAAGATAAAATTAATGTTGTTATTAGTAATAATTAATAATGCAAACCAACATATTATTTTAATACATGTTAAATAATCACACTTATTTCTGTTGGATGTTTTTTTTATTGCAGGATATCTCTAAGTGAAAAATTACATTTTAAGAAAACACAAGTCAACAATAACTATCAAATGTCACTCGGAAATGGATCACAGTGAACACTGTTGTGTTGTGACCTAATCAAAGCAGCGTATTACAGCTAACCGGGCAATTTGTGAGTTGCGGGAATTATAGCTAAGACATATAAAAAGGAACAACCATTATCAACTGCATTTAAAGAAGTGTTGATGTTATGTCAGAGACAAAGTGAGTTGTCGAGTGAGAGAGTAAGTTACTGATGGAAAGTAGTCACTGCGTATGGTAGCTCAGGCCATCTGTGTATGGGTGAATGATGACATGTAGTAGTGAAGTGGTCTTAGTATCCTGAAAACTAAAAAATAGATATACAAGTAAAGTAAATTTACCATTCAAAGCGAAAACAGAAGGACCTTCAGTCAGCAACAAGCTCATATTAAGTGGGAGCAAACCTGTGGTCTGAAACCCTGTGCGCCCATAATCCCTGTTGTTTGAGCTAACCTTCTGTTAGCTACCTGTCACACAGTGACAGACGTAGGGCCAGCCCACTGTGACCGGGCATTGCGCTTTGTGCTGGCCAGATTGGTCGCTGCAGCCGCCGAAAGAGTTTCTCATGGAGCCGGCACACACTGGCAGGGTGCGTTACGTTTGACATGTTTGAAGAAATTTAAGCCTCCATTATAGCTCTACATTATTAGATTTTAATGTGATTCTTTACAAAAAGGTTGGCAGGTCATTCTCTCAGACAGCCTCAGATTGGGTGCTGATCCCCTTGATTATCCTCTATGAAGGGAAACAACACAAGAAGAGAAATAGGGGATGTGGATATTTCAAAAGTATTACACAAATAAATTATTGGGATTGTTAAAATACTAACGTTTGTTAAAAAATTGTCATGAACTGTAATTGACTAATTGCAAACCATCCTCCACTTCTTCTAATGTGATCGCAACACATATTCTCCCTCTTTAGCAGAGAGCTTGGCATTTAGAAATGTGCATTTGATTCCGGTCAGGTGGGGAAGTGCACTACATTGAAGTTTCACAGTTTTAACTCAAAGACAGAAGACGGAGCTTCGAACGGAATGTTTTCTTTTGCGCATACAGCTGTGGTACCAGCTGCTCTTTGCCTTGTAGCCTCTTGTTCAGGGTGTTGAGATGATCGGTGAGATCAAATAAAAAAGCCAGGTCTCATGGAGAGGTCTAGTCTTTTCTTTCAAAAACGTGTCGATGTTTGATCTCAGGGAATAGTATCTCTGCAGCATAAGGACTGAGCCAGCGCACTTCACAATGTAGAGTAGGTCCCGTATTCAGCATCAGAGAGGAACACAAATTATTTGTGGTAAAGCCCTCGTGCCTGAATTATGTTGACAGTTTTCACAACGTGTTCAACTAAGAAGTGCAATACAGTGGAAATAGTCCATTATATTCTCGCGACTCTCGCTAATGAAGCTCTGAACACGGGTTCTTCTTAGGGTTTCATTATTAACCAGGAAAACAGGCTACTGTGGGCCGCAGCCTGCGCCGAAAAACAGACCAACCACCAGATCACCAGAACTCCAACAACGCCACCGCGTTCCGTTACTCCAACCCACCCCCAACATCACAACCACACATTCCCAAAGATGATTGACATCCCATCGTGAGCCCTTCACTGACCTTATAAACTCAGTAAATGTGATACCTCGCTCACAAAACATGTCGGCCCGTTACAATATTTTTAGACTTTGATGTGGGCCAATTAAAAATGGATGGCAGGCAGCAGTTGGCCTGCGAGCCGTAGTTTGGACACCCCTGCTTTAAGGACATAGTTATGCAGGCAGTTTGAAACACATTAGTCACACGCTAGTTCTTAGACGTTTGCATAACTTCGATCACGAGGCAAAATTTCTACGGAAGCAACTTTTGAAAAAGCAACGGGGGCTGAATACAGGTTCTGTCACGGGGGAAGCTCTTGAGGAGACGCAGAGTTGAGGTTCAGCTGACGCTTTTATTGTCCAACAAAAAAACACAGGGAAGTCCCTGGGAACAAAAAACAAAGAGAGATGAATGGGGAAATGCTCTGGCAAAACAGAGAGCTGAATAGTTACCAAAAGAAAAACCAGAATCTCTTACAGAGGAAATAACAAAACAATCAATCAAAAAAAGGCTCTAAACTAAATTAAGGAGCTGTGGAGTGATAAACAGCACAACTAAGGAGACCACGAGGTGGCTCGGTACAAACAAAACTGTGACCTGGGCTTGATTCTTTCCTGAGGCGGGTGTGCAAGGCGAAAGGACATGACACACTGGCACAGGACAAGAGGAGACGCAGACTATAAGTACACATGAGGGAAGTGTGGGAACAGGTGGACACAATCAGGAATCAGGGAAGACAATCAGACTGACACATGAGGAAGGGCAAATAACCTGAAACGAATTTCCAAAATAAAACAGGAAGTCACAAAACAAACATGGAGACAGGACAAAAACCCAACTTGACATACAGGTGTGACTGGTTTGGATGGGGGACGGGCTGAATTCAACATGTTATGGTGCTTAAACAAGAGGGCTAACACATTGATAAATTAACGCATGCTTAAAGCAAAGACTAAGTATGATACTGTGTAATACAAAGAGCTGAAAAAAGTACTCTGGCATTGTAATAAGTTACCGATGAGTAGTTATCTTGATTAGGATGTAGTAAGTAAAAATATTTACTTAATATGTCCAGTGTGTGACTATTTTTTAAACTATTTCTTGCACTTGAAAATGGAGAAAGCACAAATCGATGCTGTAGCTGGTTTCAACACAATCTTTTACACCCAAGGGTTCTGAGACGTCTGTAAATGAGGGTTCTGACACCCCTGCTGCTATCATTATTATTAGTTCTATCTATATAATACTGTCATCAGAAAACTACATCACCGACTTTGCTTCTTTCCTGAAGGCTTTGTGCTTTCCCTTACAGGTTTCTGTGGATGGTGGTTGTTCCTGCAGTGGTCCCGCCTTACACCTGGTGTACTAATCTCAATATTTGAATAATTTATGTCGTAGAAATAAACGCACTCTACATATTTAAGTTGTTCCTTCTGTACACACCTTCACGTCTGCGGTTCTCCCTGAGGTTTCTCCCAGTTGAATTTTTTTTTGTTTTTTCTATGCCAATGTGAGGGTTTCGGGACAGAGGATGTTGCATGTTTACACTGTAAAGCTCTCTAGGCTAATTTGTGATTTTGGGCTACACAAAAAAAAAAGATTTGAAATGAAAAACACTTTGGTACTAGAGGAATCTGCCATATCTGCACTTGGGGTGTTGCGCACTGTCTTCCCTTTACACAAAGAAGGGACAAGTGACGATGAGAGAGATGGAGCTGATTTTAGGTATACTATTCCAGCTCAAGTCAGATCTTATTACAGAACCTGAAAATGAAGATTTAGAAAACACAGAATTATAAACTGTTTCTGCACTTTTAATTCCAGTGCATTTTCCCAGAAATATATTTTATTTTTGTATTTGTAAGTTACCAGCGAGTAATTAATCTGTTGAAAAGACGTTTGAAAGATGTCTGTGGCCAATGTTGAAAAGACGTTGAAAATCTATTTGTCTATTTGTCGAAAGTCCATGTTTGGAGAAGTTTTTAACGTGATTTTTAATATTGGCCGTGAACTTACAAATGTGAGCGTTGTTTTTTTCTAAACCTCTAAAATAAGGATATAGCACAAAGTAAAGGATGAAACATTTCCGTACTAAAAATGGAGGATTTTGCATTCATTTGCGTTTAGTGGTTAATTTAATATATATAATATAATATTTAATGTCTTAATTGAACTTTGTCTGCATGTTTGTTGTCTATAATTGTGCATTTAAACTAACAATGCTTTAATTAAAAGGACATGTGAGGAACCCTCCAAACCAGCAGCAGGACTGTACGTCCGCTTCAAAGGGACTCTGAATTGTAATATTAACATAAATATTTTCCAAATGTGGATTATTAAATATTTTGTCTCTAAGATCTTACATATGTGGTAAGATTTCACCTATCTAACTGTTGCATCAATGATGATTGTACCATAGATATTAAATGCTATAAATCACTAATGACGTCAGATAACTGTAGCCTCGTTGAACACTATATCATAGACATGAAATACTATGAGGTTAAGCACTAATGATGTCACCTATGTTACTGTAGCCTTCAGAATCAGAGCATCATATATGAATTATTATATAAATCACTAATGATGTCACCTATCTAACCCAAGCCTCTTTGATCACTGGATCATAGACATTTGACCTGTAATTAGTTTGTGCATTTATCTGTACGAGGGCTACCAGACTGATTATCATCCTCTCGATGTTTGAATAACAAGAAGAAAACAGTAGGTGTGGATGTGGAATTCAGCTCTAATTTGATATTAACTGATTGTTACTGTATGAAACCTCATCTGTGCTTTATGAAACCTTCATAAAGCTAATGCACTGTAATGTAATACAACAGCCCTGTAATACTGTCGCGACGAGCTATAGTAGTTTGAGTGAGTCGTATTATGCCTATTTCTTAAGTCGTGCGTTTTATGTTTTCGCCAGCAGCGGAACTACTTTATAGTCACTGTGTATCCCCCAATATCTAACGCGGATGATGGTGAAGTAGGTTGTTAAGACGATACATTTGTGATACTCATTCTAACACTTATTGAGTTAAGGAAGCTTTTGATTAAGTTCTCACCCGGGACCTATATGTTTGACCTGTAACCCCTCCGTCGAGTGAGCTCGTCCTTACATACCGATTAGGTCCCTAATGCCCTTGGGGGATGACTGGTACCTCTATGTATCAAGATAAGGGCACTCACCGGTGTCTGCAGGTTTCGAAGCGGTGTTCTTGTCATTCAGCCCCTTGGAGGAGGCCCCTCAGTGGAAAGGAATCACCTGGAAACAAATGGTCTTTTGTTCCCCAAAAAGGAGAACTTTTATTTATATAAAAAAGCGAAAAGGTTTACAAAAATTGAATAGAAAACAATAAAAGCAGTTCTATCTTTCAAACCCTAAAGGGTAAAAAGGCAGTCCATCAATAGTTAATGAGCTAGATTCCCCGTCTTTGTGTGTGAGCAAGAAAACAAGAGATAAGCGCGCTGTGTGTTAAAACATGTTGGCTTATATACTTTTTTAGCAGAAGCAATGTGCGTCACGGGGGTTTATTTTGCGTCGATCGCAGTTTCGGTTCGGAAACTCAATCAAAGCAGGTTTGTGCGTTATTTGCGCTACTAAGCGCTTTTCAAGAAGACATTTTCACACCTTAAAGCAGGTACTTGAAACAGCTTCACACTTCAAGGCAAGTTCATGAAACGGCTTCACACTTCAAGGCCCTATTTGCGCTACTAAGTGTCTATACAGGAAAACCGCTTTACATATCAAACGGAAACATTCTTTTTATCTTTTTTTTTGGTGCAGGACTCTTGGTGCACAAAGCAAAGCATTATGTTTTTGTAAGCATTTTTGTTTTACACAGTATCCGGCTATACAACACAACCTTTGCTTATCTCAGTAAGGTTATGTGTCTCTTCCCCCCATCCTTTTCATAAATACATAGGAAACATAATTATCCCTCTGCGTTTGCCTTTTATTTCGGGGGCTAACGTTAGCATGTTAAATCCGCCGCATAATTTGCGGTTGTAGTGAGTGTCAGCTGGAGAGGTATATACACTTCCTCGGTGTTGGCATACAATACATCGAATGATGTATTGTCTCGGATTTTGCATTTCACCTGTTTTATGAATGTGGCCAGAGTGGAGGGACATGATGAAAGTCAACAGATGTAAGATAGCGTGCATTTGTCCAGAGCTCGCTTATCGCTGAGTGGATTGCTATCACTTGCCACAGGCCGGGGGGAGAATGTAGTTAGGCCTCATGCTAATGGATTGCAGCTCAATGTCTATAGTACATATTTTCTGTGTTTAAAACTGTTCTAAATGTTTGTGGCTGAAATGTTCCCCAGGATCCTGCTGACCGTGGTCGTGATCTTCCGTATCTTGATCGTGGCCATCGTGGGAGAGACCGTGTACAACGACGAGCAGTCCATGTTTGTCTGTAACACCTTACAGCCAGGCTGCAACCAGGCATGCTACGACAAGGCGTTCCCAATCTCCCACATCAGGTACTGGGTGTTCCAGACCATCATGGTGTGCTGCCCCATCCTCTGCTTCATCACTTACTCAGTGCACCAGTCTACCAAGCAGAAGGACCGGCGCTACTCCACAGTTTTCCTCTCCTTGGACAAAGGCATGGATTTTATGAGGAGAGACAACAGACGGCTCAAGAATACCATTGTGAACGGGATGCTACAGAACACAGAAAACTCTAACAAGGAAGTAGAGCCGGACTACACTGAGGTAAAGGAAATTCACAACTCAGCCATGCAAACTACTAAGTCAAAGATGAGAAGGCAGGAGGGCATCTCCAGGTTCTACATCATCCAGGTCGTGTTCAGAAACGCACTAGAGATAGGGTTTCTGGTGGGTCAATACGTCCTGTACGGATTCTATGTCCCTGGGGTGTATGAATGTGATCGATACCCTTGCATGAAAGATGTAGAGTGCTATGTTTCACGGCCAACAGAGAAAACAGTGTTTCTCGTCTTCATGTTTGCGGTCAGTGGTATTTGTGTACTGCTGAACTTGGCAGAGCTCAATCATCTTGGCTGGACAAAGATAAAAACTGCTGTCAGAGGAGTGCAGGCTAGGAGGAAGTCCACTTATGAGATCCGGAACAAAGACTGCCCAAGGATGAGTATGCCCAATCTTGGGCACACCCATTCAGGTGACTCTGCATATGTGTAAATGCTTGTTAAACTTCCATGAAGAGGCACAGCTGTGTGGAAAGATACTTATCAAGGCGACAAAGAAGACAACATTTAGTCTTTTTAGTCTTTTATTTGGGGTTTAAAAGAAGAAAAGTCACTAATGAAAAATCTGTTTTATTGTTGTTTATTTCTGAAAAGCGTCAACTGATCCACTACATGTAGGTCTAAACCTAACTGCATTCAGCCACCAGAGTATTTGTCAGCAATGATTATGGGTGATAAATCTCAGCTCATAGTTGGCTTTTCTATTCATCTCAAATTTATTGAATCGGGTCAGAGCTCTGTTAGGTCAATCAAATTATTTACAGTAAACTGGGAACACATTTCTTTATGACGTTGGCCTTTTGAACATACATAAGTCTTCACTACATATGCTGGAACACTGGTAATAAATAGATTCAACCATGGACACATGTGCAGCAGAGGCATATCTAGACTGTTAGTCCACAATGTACATCATGTTCCAAAGCAGCTGCTTTGCTCATTATGCAAAAGGATAGTTTATTTATTTATGTCATATTCACATCATATTGATGGAAAGTAGCAATGGGAGATATTTATCGTCCTTAGACAAATTAAGGTCATCATGGAATATGTTGATTGATGGTTGAAATCCAGTTTCACAGTGTGCAATGTAGGTTTTATCAACTTAAAATAGCGTTCGGGAGTTCAGAAATCTATACGTTTGCGGTTTCAACCACTTCTGTATTATTGAACAGTAAGTGGGATATTTTGGAAGATCTAAGTTTCACAGTCACTGTAGCAATTTAAATGCTAATGTGTATGGCAGCAAATCACTGTCAAAATTTGAGAGCGCATGTCCGTCTCGTGCGAGATATTTGCTCGCTCGCGGAACGTGAACTTCCTCGCTCGCGAGGCTAATCTCTGCTCGCGCTCGAAAGTGTTTTCTGCAGGCTCGCTGTTGTCCTTTTTGACAGTAAAGGGGCGGAGACAATCACCATGGTCTCTACATCTAATTGGTTACAAACCCCGTCTTTGGATTGGCTGGAGTTATGCATTCACACAACTAGCAAATATCTCGCGCGAGACGGACATTTGCTAGCGGATGTTTGATTTACGCGCGCCCATCAACCTGAATTGCGCTTTCAAATTTTGACAGTGATTTACCGCCATAAATGTGGAAACTATTTCAAGTTGTAAACTGCAGTAAATACGATACAATATGAAAAGAGCCTTAACTCTCCCTGCTCGGACAAAGTCATATTCCACACTTGCACACTTAGAATTTGATAAATCCAAGGCTAATCCCAGTGTCTGGTCAAACTCTCAGACATGACAAAGGCCTGAATGGGTGAATTTAGAGAGGTAGACATTGAACACAAGGGAGAGCATTGATGTAAAAATGCACATAGGTGAGTGTGAACGGGAAGCCAATAGTTTTTTGACCGTTTCTCAACCTGATGTGTCTCAACCTGAACGGGCTGAGGCTCAACGTATGGTATACTGTTACATTATGTGTAATGTAATGAATTTGACAAAGTAACCATAATAAATGGATCAACGGTTCGAAAATAGAGCGCATTGGACAATGAATTGTTTTGTAGCCTAGAAAATGTGTCCAAAAAGGTTCTCCCATTTGCCTTAAGTGGCTTAATACATTGGATGGAGTTAACGCCACTACACTATAACTCGAACCACTGGCTTCACTTGTATGGATCTTGTTGGCTGGTCCATTCCAGCTGATCATTGATTCAACAGCTGATAGACATTGGCCCTTTTTCAATACCGAAGACGGCGAGAACGGACTTGCGTAATTGAGAATTGAACTTGATGACGTCACCACGTTAGTTGGTTTTGCTAATACATTTTAATACGGTTTTCTTGACTGTTAAGTATTTTACAATCAAGCTTATGCTGCATTTGTGTACATATTGTAAAGCCCTCTGTGGCAAATCTTGCGATTGTAGGCTAATTGAATAATTGTAGCAAAATCTAACACCGCCACCGCTGCGAGGGCTAGGCAAAAAGCATGGCATGATAACGGTTCGGAAAAAGTATACGGTAGACTAATTTTAGGTGCCTCATCACTCAGAGTCTACTGTTATATGTCTGCTGGCAGTAGGATTCATGGAATCAGCAGTGAGTGGCAGGTTCCCCTTTTGGAACGGCACAAACCGATCTCACTTGGGCACGTAGCGACATGGACCCGCCTCCTCTTCCTCATGCAAATTCCACAAAAATTGGTATCATCACGGTCTGTCGTAAATGTATTCTCATTATAACAGGGGTGTGCATCCCTGAAAAAGTCTGGAAATAAAAACACAGCAGACTGACGACTATTATATATGTATCATATTCATGCGTATATTCACTTATAGAAGTTGGAGTGTGTGGGTGGATCCAGAAGTTTCTTAAGCGCAAAATTAACAGCAAGGCATGCAGCGGCTTTCCGGATGTCCTCTGCATTTCCGACACTACAAAAATGTACAGTCTACGAGGCAGTATAAGAACTCACATCTCATTAATGCACATCACTAATTTGGCTTCTTCCCTGGAGTTTCTGTGCTTTCTTGCCTCACAGGTTTCCATGGATCATGGTTATATCTGGACCCTGGTCCTGCCATGGCCCTACTAACAATTACCGCTTCCAACACCATTATTAGTCCCGTTACTATTACTGTCAACAGTGATGCACATCACTAACTTTGTTTCTTCCATAGAGTTTTTGTGAGCTCACCTCACATGTTTTCAGGTTGTGATTCTATCTGGACCCTGCCATGGCCCTGCTTACACCTGCTGCTGCTGTCATTATTATTATTAGTCACATTACTATTACTGTCATCATAAACCAATGTTAAAGACTGCTTATGTTGGGCTTTCTCACTGTAATGACTCAATCACAAACCCAGGTTGCAAAAAACACAAACAAATTAATTTTTTAACTTTCAAAATCGGATTTGCAAAAAATCCAAAAAAGGACAAAACACAGAGGGTCCAAAATCAGAAAACGCTTTACGCTGGCGGTACTCAAAACATGCAGGTTCAGGCGTAGGTCCTTCCCAAAAAACGATTAACAATCCGACAGGGAACAACAGAAAGACACACCCGTGTATAGGAGGGGAAACTAACAAGACACAGGGGAAACAAATCAGGCACACAGTCAAGGAGATGATAGGGGACAGGTGAGTGACAACGGGCCGGGATGCACCAGAGGGCAGAGTCTACGGACAATGACATAAACACAAACGCATGACGAAATGAAGAAACTGGGGGAAACACGTGGCATAACAAAACACACAGCGATTACAATGAACAAATGTCAGGGATCTTAACTGCATTATATAACAGCAGTATTTGTGCTTTCCCTCCCCACAGGTTTCTGTGGATGGACGTTGTCCCTGCAGTGGTCCTGCCTTACACCTGCTCTCAATATTTAAATAATTTCTGTTTTATGAATCGAAGAAACTGTACATAAATGAGTAAGTTTCTGTACACTCTAACAAAAAGCAATCAAATTGAACAATGAGAAATGCAGTGTCGTTATCAACGGGGGGAATAGTAGAATTACCCACAATAATTACCTTGTCCGTATTTAATGACTAAACTTGATAAGACATAAGAAAATTCAGATAGAAATTTAGAATACGGACCGGGGGCCCTATACACTTCAACAAAGAATACTGATTAGGTGCTAAGAACCCAAATGAGTCTACTTAGCATCAAAAATGACTGCTACCACCTCCTCTGCCTGTGCTGAGATATTCTCCATTTGACAGTCGGCAAGAAAAACGCTAGATTGACTGAGGCAGTTGAACCGACAGTGGGGAAGAGTTCACTTTTAAATGTAACTTTAATGAATATAATTCACTCGAATATCTAGAAATGTTATAATATAGTATAACACATTAATGAAATCAGTTAAGTTATGTGACGTTGGTAACCGATGTTGTGTTTTAAATATTCAGTAATATTTTACAGTTCAAATAGCTTGTATTCTATGCAAGAAAAAATAAAAAAGTCCTTGCGTATGTTAGGGATTTAAGAAAAGTGCACCCCTAGTGGTGGAATTATAATATGTGTAATAATGTTTAGTTTTAGAATTGTAGTTTGTGTGTTATTAGATATTAGTTATTACATTAGCATGTTAGATGAAGTGAATGCAATACGGATCAAATATAATTATAGTCATGAGAGTCATTAAAACACTGTACACATTAATATTCTGTCACGATGTAATGTTAAAACCTGGGGACGGATGCTAATTGCCGTCCTTTATGGATTTCTCCCAATTTTATCCCCAAAGAGGGTTTTTTGGGAGTTTTGTCTCCTGTCGGGTAGTGAATGAGCAAAGGAGGTACGACAGACCATATAGAACTGAGTTAAACACAATGTTTAAAATGTGATGTTATTATGCATGCTATGTTATGTTTACATGATGAAGCTTTAGGCCAAAAGGTGTGAATGATCACACCTTTGGCCTAAAGCTTCATCAGCTTCACCATCAGATGGAGCCAGGATCTTATAGCAAGTTTCTCCCACGCCGTTTCTCTGTCTTTTGCTGCAGTAGTGGTGTTGCTTTTCTTTCTAATTACGGGTTCATACTCTTTGTGCACTTGCATTAATATTTCCACCTCAATAGGGGTGATGTATGCAGACAGATTGTTTGTGGTTGTTGCCATGGTAAATCGTAGTATCCATTCATGCTGCCTTCATACTGTGGTGGTGCACGCGCTCAACTCTGAGTCAACCTACTCCGACCTACTTAACCCCTGGGGTCCGTTTATAGAAGCAGGTTTAGTGGTTTAAGGTTTGTTAACCCTAAGATGAGGGAAAATCTGGCTGTTTCAGGAAAGGAGGTAAATAAATGTGTCGCGTCCGTGTCGCGTACAGATCTTGCGACATGCCGATCACATCATAGGCAGGTGGCGACAGATCTTGCAACCTGCCGGTCAAATTATGGGAAGGCGGCGACGGATCTTGCAACCTGCTGAGCGGATAATGGGAACATGGTGATAATCAAAGAGGCATGGCAACGCTAAAACAATAAAGGGACAGATGTATCGGCCGTGCATAAACAACGATCGGGCGAACGGTTTGGCCGGGGTGAAGGGGGGACTTTTGTCAGTTCGCTGGTGCTCTCTCTCCGCTGGCTGTGGTCGGCTATTAAGACATTGCCCAAATTACCCTCTTCGACTTTGTCAGTCTGGCTACAGTGCTGAAATGAACACAGAGAGTGACAGCTCCGTTGAGCCGTGTATTCCTTTGGACCTCAGTAGTACCGACTTTATGAATTTCTTCAATGATAAGATTCTGACTGTCAAAGAGAAAATTGATGGTCTCCTGCCTTCAACCAGTGCAGTCCTGCCCTCAGATGTGGGAACCTTGGATGCAGTCTAAATCGTCTACTTGTCTCTTGGATCCGATTCCGACTAAGCTGCACAAGGAAGTTTTTCCTTCAGTTAGCAGGTTTTTATTAGATATCATGAATCTATCTTTGTTGACAGGGCATGTATCACAGTCCTTCAAGGTAGCTGTAATGAAACCACTTCTTAAGAGACCTACTCTAGCTCCAGAGGTGCTAACTACAGACCTATCTCTCATCGTTCCTTCCTCTCGAAGATCCTTGAGAAATCCGTCGCAAATCAAATTTGTGACTTTCTACAAAACAATGCTTTATTCAAGGATTTCCAGTCAGGATTTTGAGTGTATCATAGCACAGAAACAGCAATGGTGAAAATACGAATGATCTTCCACTTGCATCGGACCAAGGACTCATCTCTTTTCTTGTCTTGCTCGACCTCAGTGCCGCATTTGATACCATAGACCATTGTATCCTGTTGCAGAGACTAGAACATTTGATTGGTATCAAAGGAACTGCACTCAGCAGGTTTAAATCCTTTTTTTCGGATC